ACTAGGGTCCACTTTAGAACAACAAAATGATGAAGGGTTGTGGGTCCCAATTTCGTTCGCATCCCGATACCTAAATGCTCAAGAAAAAAAATATTCAACAAATGAGTTGGAATTATTGGCAGTTGTTTGGGCAGTAGATAGATATAAACACTACCTTCTGGGGAAACCATTTACCATCGCAACTGACCATAAAGCGCTTACAACAGCATTGGATGTTAATCAATCGAACAAGACCTACCAATCACGCTTAACCCGGTGGGTTGACCGGTTACTGCCGTATCAGTTCAACATAGTTCACATTCCGGGGAGGGACATGGGCATAGTTGATTATTTATCGCGTGATCCTTTCAATGATCCCTGGCCCGAATCAGAATTAGACGAAAAGTTTGTAGTAGCGACAATAAACTCCTTTCATGAAGCGTTCGACTGCTGGAACAGTAGGCTTAAAGATTCAAGGTCGCTCAACCGGAACGAAAACGTTCTAGAATGTTCTAGAAGGAATGTTAGGAAACAGTCATCAAGTAATGGTTGCTATAGCAACCAAAACGGTCAAAACCGAACAAAGCTCGACCGGAACGAGAGAAAACAGTTTCCACGACTGCAAAAACAGTTGAACACAACCCAGTCAAATCAACCCAGTAAACAGTCAGTCTTAAATAATTGCAAAATAAAAAAACGACCAGTACCGAAAAAAATAGAAAAAACAGACTCAAGAATCGAGATGTCAGAAAATGCAAACAGAACATACGACTGGTGGTCCAGCTCACCACAAGATTGGCGGAATGAGGAACGTGAAGAAAGCCTAATGGACCCAAAGTGGAACCGATCATTTTCCACCAATAACGAACTCTCGGGAGAGGAGGAGATCACAGAGACAGTACAACGGACGAGAAAAATTATACGAGGAGGCAGAAAAAATAGGGACAGCTCAGATAGCGAAACACGTCAAGCACAACGAGTAAAATGGTCGCTGGAACCGGAACAACAACGAATAGCGGACCAAAGACTGCTCTCATTCTGGCAGCTAATAGGTGGAGAAAACAATGTTCAGGAAAATCGAGAACTGGTGGCCGATACTCAAGAAGTCAGGGACAATTTGGAAGACGAATCAAGTCCAACATCGTCAAAACCGATCGCATCGACAGAACGAAAACTCAGTGAGGTGAATGTAATAGAAGTCGACCTTACAACCACAGAAGAGGCGGAGAGTGAGGAGGAAGTGTGCTCAATTCAACCGCCAAAGGGTCTAGGAAAATCAAGACTGCAAAAGCAGCAACAAGTAGAGACTCTGGACAACCTCGCAAAACTGTTCGACAAAAACTTACTAGCAGAACTGACCACAGAAGACACGTGGATGGACCGCCTCAGGAGAGTGGTAGAGAGAGGGGACAAACAAGGATTCGAATTGATGGGACCCTATACAAATCCGTTGTGGTCGCAGATGGCAGTTCAGGACGACTGCATCTTGGTGAATAATCGGCTAGCGGTACCAGTTCAACTACGACAAGCTGTCCTCAAACGAATACATCGGGGACACCCAGGACAGGAAGCGATGTTGGGAGCAGCGCAATATCTGTGGTGGCCACACATGAATAAGGACATCGTGAATTTGGCAGAGGAGTGCCGTAGTTGTACCAGATATGGTAAGAATGTTAAATACCTTATTTCGAAAAATTCGTCAAAACCACCACCACTGCTCACGCAGCCGGGACAGGAGGTACAACTAGACTACGCGGGGCCTATAGAAAATCAGAAAGGAAAAAAAATCTATCTTTTAGTAGCTATTGATCGATTCTCAAAATTTCCTTCAGTGAAGGTTACAAAATCCACAAGTGGAAAGAGCACAGTAAAATTCTTGAGATCATATATCGACACACATGGAGTCCCTGAATCAATTCGCTCGGATCAATTTTCAGGCTTTAAGGGAAAAACTCTAAAAAAATTTTGTTCGGAACTTAATATCGAACAAAAATTCTGTCCGGTGGGGGATCACAGAGGTTGTGGGTTGGTTGAACGTACAATTCAAACAAAAAAAAGAAGACTGGGAGTGATGATGCTCGATGAAAATAATAAATCAATCAAATTATGTCTCAGTATTATAATGCGAGATTTACGATGGAACAAGCAGAAAACAATTCAAGTATCCCCGTTCCAAGCACATTTCGGCAGACTACCAAAAACAGAATTTAAAATTGTGAGGGATAGGTTTTTAAATAATTCTGATTCTTTAGACAAACAACACTTGGAACGCTCAGCACTGACTGCATCTCAAATGAAACGGAGGATTGATCAGTCGAGAGAGAATCTCAAGATAGTGCGCAAGGGACAACTGAGCAGGGATACAAGCCCACTGCACAAGCAGCAAATAACATCGGACAGAGATAAAGAAAGAGCCAAAGCCCTAAAGGAATTGTTGGAGGCAAACGCCCGATGGAACTACGAAAGAAGGGATGCAGCTAAAAATGACATCAAAAAATTAGTGGACGAGACAGGTCAACTCAATCCCGATCTTCGAAAAGAAATGATTTACTCTTGGGAAAAAGGATTTGTGGAAGATAAAGTAGAAAACCAATGCAAGTCACCACCCAAGACAATACTTAGAAAGGACCCTCTAAGGAAAAGCGGACAAGCCCTAACCAGACCACTAAAGGGGAAAATAGCTTCAGAAACGGAATCAACAATTAAGACATCGGCCGGTTCGATCTATAGAAAATCGGACATAGCTCAATCAAAAACCGTACTTACACAAGAAAAACAGAGAAGCACAATTAAAAGTCCATCGTCGGAACCTACAAAAAAGTTCAAGCGAGTCAGTTCTCCAGAACTACTAGAGGAGCTGGAATCGGAGGATGAACTCCAAGGAGAAATGGAAATTGCAAATGAATTGAACCCAACAGAGCGCTTTCAGAAGAGCCAAACAATAGTCACTTCTAAGGACACAGAAGCCGGGGGAGGACTGAATCTTGCAATAAAAAGAGCAAAACCAAACCTGGCGGGACCAAAATCAGCAGAGGAAACAAACACGAACAAGCCGGAAAAGAGCGGAAAAGAGAAGAAAAGTCGAAGCAAGCAACAACAGGGGACCAACGCAAACCAAACTGCGACTACAGTCAACTCGGAACAAGAGCAAGCAATATCTAAGCCGGATTCGGTCACAGCAGATACCAAAATCCAGTCGAGCTCTACGCCGAAAACCAAACAGCGTCCGAAACTGAAGGGCATTGACGCGCACACCCCTTTGGAAGATATAGTGGAGACGTTCCACAATAGAAATTTGGCACCGTCTGACTGGGAGAAGTACGCGGACCAACTGTTAAAAAGAGGGGTGCAGCGAGTTGCGGATGAACTTAGAGAAAATCCTCAAAAAGGCTCAGAATTGGATACAAACTTCGAACCACCACAAGGATTCTCGGACGAATCAAGTGCGGAAGAGTCAGGTGTTCGACGAAGTTCTAGACAAACAAAGAACAAAGAACCCAAACGATTCGGAGATCCGATAAAACATTCAATCAAAGAAATATCCGAAAATCTTACAGGAAGAGGTCTGTTAAAGGAGGCACTTAAAGAATACAGAAACCAACTGAGAGATTTCAAAGATCGGGACGACAGACCTTTGGAGTCAAAAGTGCGACGACTCGAAAGACATTTATTTATGCGAAAATTCGGATATGCTACTTTAGATGAAGGAATAGATTGGAACCCGAGTTGGGAAATTGAGCTGGAGGAAAACTGAAATTTACATAATCCATCTAAAAGACTTTCTTCCGAACTGAGTAAATTGAACTCTTTTAAATAAATTATCCTACTGATGTTGTATAATTTATTTCTTTCACCGAGGGGGGTGTGTCATACCGCTACTGCAGTAGCAGTATTTATTATACGTATGTACAGCCAACCTCTGGTGTTAAATCATTATTTTATGGTACGCTCAAGGTCATACATAAGTGATGACACTGAGACTAAGTGAGAGATCAGAGTACTTAACAATGATCTATCTCTCAGTACATAAGAAAACAAAGAAAAGAGAAAATCTAAATTCAATATTCAGAATACAGTATTGAATTCCAACTTGTTTTCAATTTGATATCGCAACGCATATCACATTGGCATTTTTTTCGAATTAATTAACCTAATTCAAAAAACTTTAACTAGCTTGATTCTTTAATCCGCCGAGATTTCTGTTAAGTTAAATCAACGCTTAAAACTAAAAGACGGTCATGTTTTTTGCGACTTCATCTTTGTTGCTGTTCTATCTTGGAGTTTGTTATCCATTTAAGAACAGAATTGATAAGAACTTAAAAATCAGACCGCGAAAATGTTCAAGTGAGCCTGAAAAATAACATTCCCAACAGACAGTTGGAAAGAGTTACTGAACGCAAGTGAAAAGAAAAAACTACGCTTTTGGGAAAAAAATTGGAGCTCTCGGATTTCAAAAAAAAACAGTTATCCCAAAACCTCTTTGAATTAATACAACCAATTATGCTAACGTTTCTGCGATAAATTTAAACCAGTTTGAGAAAACTGGATCGATAATGCGAATTTTTTGTTTCGCTGAGAAATATAATAAAATTCCATTTTAAAATTAGAAGTCGATCACGTTTTTCGTTACCTTTATATTTCGATAGTGGGGTTTGTCTTCCTTTTAACTATGGAAATGAGCTTAACCCAAAAAGAACTCTAGTCAAACCAATAAAATGTAATAGTCAAACCGCTAAACGAAAAAAATACAGCACCTATATAAGTCTGAACTATGTTCATTGACTGTAAACAAGTATAGATTTCATTTTGTAAAAAAATGCCCAACTTTAAGTTGAAACCGAATTTTTTAAATAACTTTACGAACTTAAAAAATCAAATTTACCTAGGCGATGTTAATATTCTATCCATGTTTTCAAGCATAAACATGTTTTCCAGCATAAAAAATCCATTACCTGTGGTGCAGCGAAAACCCTGGAAATGATATCAGCCTCGCATTTTCAGAATATTATGTTTTGAAGACGGAAACTATGAAAAATTAAATTCTTTATAAAGCATTGTCGACATTTGCTTTTATAAAACCATGAATATCATTAAAATATGCTAGATTGAGATTGAAGCCATTGTCAACTTGATATTTTTTAGTGTAAATTGAATGTATTGACAGTGACTTATACCAAAGAAACAGGTTCAAAGCTCAATAATTTAACTTCTTAACAGATTACCAACGCATAGAAGAACCCCTCCAGTATGGAAACCCAAGTGGAAAAATAGAGTGTGGAAAATTTAACAAGGCCCTCGAAAAATTGAATGCATGAAACTAAACATCATAACTTCGATATTTTTCGTACCTTATTCTGATGGGTAAAATCGGAAGTTATGATGGTACGTTTAATAAAGGGACGGTATTGAAATGATACAGGTAGCCATGCAAAACCAAAACTGCAAAATTATTAATTTAGATTGGTTGAAGGAAGAAGGACTTCGCCTCGCAATTGAATTTTGTTTTCAGGAGATAAAGAAAGCAGAATAGTAATTTAATTCACCAGAACTGATACAAAACGACAACAACAATAACGTGTATTTGCGCCACATCATACACGCCAAAAGCCGACGACTAAGTCCGATTACATTGAGTTTTATTAACGTGAAATAATAATTAGCCCCCAAATGCCAGATGTAGAAAACAAAATTAATTTATTCGATATAAATACGCGTCAAATTTTTTATCCGTAATAAGTTTTATAAGAAACATCTGTAGCACTTCGATTAGTTGAGCCAGTTTTTACTTTCATCAGCTATATTTGGAAAGGTTGAGGATCCTAGTTGAGAGAAACTAGCAATCTGCGGTGAACTCACTAGCATTCAAAGTAATTCACATTTACTAAATGGACCTAACATTAAACCCACGGGACGTCAAACACCTTTGCACTACCTATATCTATGTTAAAAACAAATGTTTCATTCAAATAAGCATGAAGCACTTCGCAACGTTAATTGTATGATATTAGGAGCAATTGATTCGAATTTATTTGTAAAAATATAATTCAGTTTTGAACAGTTTTATTATCGCCAACTTGACCAGGAACTGTCTGTCATTCGGTGCTGCAGCTTCAGGGTCAACCTAAATTCGAACAGCATTTGTAATTTCATGTTAAAACGCCACCCATTAAAACTACAACTAGCGTGTAACGCACCTCCGGTGCTTCGAATTTTCGAGAACTCATAAAAAACCACATATACTGAAAAAACTATATACAAAAACTTTTGAGTGTACTCTGACACTACCCAATAACAGGGTTCGTAATTTCACATGTTGACAAAAAAATTTAATGGGATTTTAAATTCAAGTTCTCAACCCCCTCGACTACTCTGGCAGCCCCCAGCTAAAGGGCTGGGAATTTCAAAATTTGAAGGAAAAAACTAAATTTAAGTTTTCTGAAATACTTTTAAAAAACTCGTAAAAAATGTCATATCTCGAAAAACACAGCAAATTGAGCAGTTATATTTGGAGGCACAATTACCAACCCCTGAAAATACAGAAAACTACAGGTTGAGAATAATAAATTTTTTAAAATTATTATATAAGTTGAGTTTTCTGAAAAACTGAAAAAAAAATCACAAAAAATCGTCTTATCTCGTACACTAAAAAGATTTGGGCATTCTCAATTGGAGACCAAACTCGCAACCCCTGGGGAAACTCTGACAACATACCCTTTTGTGTTGCTAACTTTTAACTCGGTGAAATAAACACTAGATTCAAACTGGAAAATCGAAAAAAATTCTTACGCATTGCAATATACGATATAGCTTAACCACGCATAGATACGTTAAGCCCTTACCTGTTGCAAATAACGCTTAGACATCGCAAGATACGTGTCACTAGCATTTAAATATAGTATAGATTATTCAGCATCATGCAAGACATAGCCTTAAAACAGTCTTCGAACGCCAAATACCGGCCATCGCACTATTCACGACTTTTTAAATTGGGTTACTCGAAATTAAAGTTTCAATCTTCATGTGAAATCTATGAATTTACCATATTAAAATCTAAACACAGAGGCACTTCGCATACACAGCAAAAATAGGACCGATAACGCTACTGGGAAAAATTGAATGTGTAAAACTTCGAGTCTACAAAATTTCTCAAGTGACGCACGCCAATTATGAGTCTACATAGTTGCTAAGTGACGCAAGCCAACTATGACGCATTGGCAGTAACAATCAATTTGAAAAAAGAAATGAACCAACTAATATGCCTCAATTTATAGAGCAGACACAGTTTAATTAGTATATGAAAAAGTTCATTAAAAACATCCGACCCTACCCAGGTTCGAACCCTCTTATTTTGCTGCTGGTCTCCTTCCCTACCTCTACGCTACAGAACCATGATAACTGGAAGCTAAATTGCTATTTGTCATATAATAGTCTGTGTTACCATCTTTAGCATTGGCTGTACTTTAACGCTGGATCAAAATGAACACTTTCAAAATGAACATTTTGTCGCAACAATTGAATCGCAACAATATTTGCGACTTAGGTTGAAAAAAAAAGAAAGTTCATACTATAACACAAGCTATGCTTGTGTAAACATCGGTCATATAAATTTGCTTCACTTGTGCAACATTTTGATTTTCCATTAAATCGGAAATCTCTATGATCAATTTGTTTTAGTATGGCATAACCGAAATTTCCCGTCATAATCAGAAACTATCTAGGAGTAAAGTGACTTCAGTATTTTAGCAGCCGTCTTACTTTCATGAATAAATAATCTGTCCATCCGTACGGGAGGGCGGTCGATCTGATTTTGTCTACATAATCTGTGTTCGAATTAGTGATGCCTCACTGACTGCTAGTTGGTAGTGTCATCCGGTTGTGCTTCGGGTGCGAGTGGAGGTGGGGACGACGAGGAGGGCGTAAGAGGAGAGGAGGGGGACTTGTCGTGTTGGGAATGGTGCGTTGCTTCTGATTCAGAGGTGGGCTTTATGGACGACGAGGAGTTCAGCGAGAGGGAGAAGTTGTCTGAAGTAGGAGAAGTAGGGCTAGAGAGATCATCAGCATGCTGAAATATACACACCAACACACATGAATCAATCAGCACACAAAGCAGCCACGGTGGAAGCATAGAACTTAAAAAACTATTCAAATTAAGTATATAAGCAAAATGACACAAATGCCATTTCATGTTGAATAAAGGATGATGTCGCAATCAAATTCAAAAAATGCTGGTGCGAAATCTTATAGATATGTGCGTGATCCAGCAACAGCACTGTTTTATAATCAATGCGTTCTTATTTTTCAAATAGAGAACTATAAATCGCTTCAGATAGATTTATCTGGTTAAATTACTGATAGACCTAAATCATCAAAAGACTTTTTACCATATAGACGCGACAATCTAGTAAAAGTTACATGAACACCTATTTTAAAAACATTTTAATTATTAACGACAATCAGTCTGTGGGTAAAACTCTAGGTAATGACTCATTCTATTTCCACTGATAAAACATCGTACTTTCAATCTTTGGTCTTAAAAATTGCTGCATACCTCTAGAACTAATTGTAAAAATGATCCAATTGTCTAGTTAAACGCGGACTTGTTCCGTACTTCACCTAGACATTCAAAAAGCAACCTCAGCCAAAAGTCATGAAAGTTTGCAGAACATGAAATTTCAGTAAGCAATATTTCTGATGACGACACTGATACAAGTTAAGGTTAAAGTCAAGGTTAAAGTTAGTCGTCGATAGTACCCGGCAGTGGACTTGGGGAGGTCGTTGGGATGAAAAATCGAGAGCGGACTGGATTCCTGACTTGAATAAGTCAGACCTCTCCTCTCCCACTTTAAGTGTCATAAGTTTCAATGCCAACTGCATATATTGTAAGTTTATAGTCTGACTCATCACGAACCTCCATCTAGAATATTCCGATAATTATTACAGTTTTCATGACTTCATTCTTTTTTTCGTAACATAGCCTAAAGACAGTCGGGAAAGTGTCAATGAGCTCAAGGAAACAGAAAAACATTATATTCTGAACATTTTTCAAATTATGAGTTCTTATGAGTTATCAAATTGAGATATTCTGAACAGTTTTCAAATCACCTTAAACTCTTTTATTTCCAAAAATAATTTGTTTGACTCTTTTCGGATAAAACTCACCCACTTTGAGAAAAATGGATAAATGAGTAAATTTTATTCCGTGGGGAAATTTACAAACTAACATCTATTTTTGAATTAATTCGATCATATTTTTTCGCGTCATTTGATCGTTATTTGCCTTCCATTTGACAAAAGAATTTAAAGTAACCAGAAAAAAATCAATACATTTGAGCAAACAACAATTGCGCACACATTGGACTTCTTTTTCCTTGTCTCTTTGTTTATTGACACTTACTAACTCAACCGTAACTCACTTGGTAATAAGTGTTATTTTGGTAATAACTGACTTTTGAACATCATTTTGATTTATAAATCTATATGAAGTCTATTTGATGTTCGAAAAAATTTCATTTTAAGTAATGATATGCAATTAGAGATTAATTTTTCAAATTAAATTAGTTAACTCACAGCTCGGTTATAATCGCTAACTAGGTTAGTACTTTTGGGACCCAAGAGATGCGACTCATCTTCTTCGGTAGTCGAGGCTTCATCGTCATCTTCCGTCTTTTCAACTGTTTCGTTTTCCTGTTCGGTTTCGGGCGAAGACTCGTTATCATTTTCAGCATCTTCTTTTTCGTTAATTTCAGTATCACGATCCTCATTTTCTTTTTCGTAATTTTTGTTCTCTAAGTTTTCTTCTGCACTCGATTTATGTTCCTTAACTGTAAATTCGTCTGTCGCATTTTGAGGTTCAACCAAGTCCGACTGAGTTTCAGATACTTCTAGAGATTTGATAGTTTCAGTCTCAGGTTCGCTTTCTTTTTCGTTGGTCTCGTTTGGTGATAACATGATATCAGCTATGAAATGATACAGTCATAGCTCAATCATGATCACAGAAAATCAAACGCTTCAAACGAAATGCCAGGATATATACTACTTTTTTCTACGACAAATTTATTCTACAAGAATAATATGATGCTCATAATTTTTTGGAAAAAAATGAACATTTCGTTTGAAACCGAAGAAAGATGAAGTGACAATTCTTATTTACCTGGCACGTTATCGCTTTCGAAAGTTTGCGGCGATGCCGGAGTTGTCTCTTCGGTGGTGGAGGGAGGCAGTGAGACCAACTGTTCATCCGGAGTCTGGATAGTCAGAGGCGACGAAGATACCGTTTCATCTTTAACATGACGCAGGTCTATAGCCGTACTTTCGCCTAGCGACTGTGAGACTTCGGTTTCAGTTTCCACACTTCCATTCAACGCATGTTCATGCTCGGGTAAATCTTCGAGCTTGAAAATATTCGCCGTGGGAGCTGCAGGTCCGTCTCTAAAGTCAACAGTTTTCTCAAGATCAACTGACTCATAAGCCAGAAGAGATCCAACTCGGAGGTCTACACTGTGTCGTTTATCGGGAACGTCGGGTTCCTTTTCGTCTTCATGAGCATCTGCCGCGACACTAGGGGTTGAGGTTAAAAGGTTAGTGGGATTTCGGGAACGGGACGGAGTTGTAGGAGGGCTTGAGGGCTAAAATGACTCGCAATTGGAAAACCAGACAACACTCAAAATGTTAGCAAGATTACAAAATAATTAACTGTTAATGATTTCAAAACAGTAGTGCGCAGCTATTAGCCAGTTAGTCTACAAAGAGTCAGTCGAAAAAGCAGCATCAGTGATCTTATTATGTGGCGACTTACGTTAAACACTGGAGATGGGAGTCCATTCTGTACGACTTGCGAAGAATCGACCTTCAGACTTTCGAGTGGTTTGCCTAAAACAAATTAACTTCAAGTTTCTTGAAAAAGACTGTCAAGATATTTTAGATTAAAGAGCCAATTTAGAATATTCCAAGCAATGAGAAACTACACTTACCCATGGGGTCGAACTTTGCCGTTTGAAATCTGCCAACATAAGCTTCAATCTCCTCCATGTTTCTGTCCGAGGGTAATTTGAAGCTGGGGCCCATCGCCTCTTTAACTATGTCTTCCCGGCCAATCATCTGCAGAGCTCTGGTCAAAGCAAACCCACTTGCATCTTGGCCCTCTTTCTCCGCCCAGTGCCTCAACATCGCGATGCCTCTCTGGCTGGCGTCCTGTTGTTCACAGAAAATTCCGACCACATTAGCCTCGATCTTCAGAGTCTCGGCCAGCATGTGCCAGTCTTCACCCAGCAGGCTGGCTACTTTGACCAGTCTGAGCATTGCCCTCTCGTGTGAACTGTTGGGACTGAGGTTGGGGTCACACAGTGTTGGGTTCTTCTTCAGGATATCGGTGGATGCAAAGTTGATTGTTCCAGCTTTGTCTTCAGACTACAAACAAAATTTATCATCATCCAACATCGCTTTTTCAACCAAACATTCCCAATTGGTTCATGAGTTAAGTCGTGTTTGTCCATATAAAAAGAATCAGAATGAGATATGCAGCACAGATAATTTAACTTCAAGTATTCCTTCCCGCTCCGCGAATGTACACTGGAGCAAAGCTACTTATGGTGCAGGTCTCCGCATTATTAAAAACGCGAAGAGCATGAATAGAGTATAAGCACGTAAATGAGCACAAGCAGGTCTCCATTCAATCGTCCTTTCTTGTTTACGCGCAACAGTCAATATTTATTATCTACACATGACCTTGACATAGCGTAAAAAATAAGTTCATGAAAGGAATTGTTTCTACTACATGTGAGTATATATCATGGCTAGCATGTAAATAAGACGATTCAGGAAACTTGAATAGCTGATTAGTTCAGGAAACTATTAACGACTATTATTTCATGCTCTGACCTTGACGTAGTCTGGGAGGGTGATGGTGAGTCTGCACAATCTCAGCTTCTCTTTCTCCTCGTCCGTCCTCTTCATGATCACTCCCCTTGGCTGGGGATAGAAATCCACGGTGCCAACTGGCGCCTGCTCATCGTCACGCACTTGCACAAAGAACATGATACGGTTCTCTCTAAACACACCTCACACACATTCAATTTGAAACTAGCAAGCACGCCTTCATTAATCAATCGACTTGCAGAAAACAATGAACCTTTGAAATATCAAATGTATTTTAGCTTGGACCGTGGAACAAGTAAGATAGCTGGGTCTTTTTAATTATTCCGCCCAAAAATCAATATTTCAACATCTTGAAGTGAAACTATTTTGCTTCAGTCTGATTGGATAGAATTAGCCTATCAAGTTTCAGTACCATCTCAAAAAGTTTCGTTTACAACTTCAAGTTGACTTCAAATAAGCCGATTTGGCCAAATATGTAGAATGTTTTCAATGTTTGGTAAAATATTCAAACTTATTTCAAATATACTGAAAAGTTTTACCCCGTAAAAACACAGAAAATAGCTCCAGAAAAAAGACCACCTTCACAGCTGCTCAAAATTTGGCCTTGTTAGAAGTCGGCTAAAATACAGATCAGCTGTGTTACCCAAACCTAAAGAGTGCTATCAGTGTTTTGTTCTCTGCTTTTATACATTGGAAACTACAAAATCGCAAAATTAGAAAATTTTGGCGGAATAGGTAAAAAGAATCAGATAGTTGGGTCCTAGGAAAAAGCAAGTTTGAAAGTTGAGCCAGGAAAATTTTATGAAATTTTCGAAAATACAAGTAAGCAAACGCGAACCATGTTTTCGAACATTTTAAGGACTAAAAAAATTCAGGGACCCATTTTAAATTATAGGAACCAACTATCATACTTGTTTACCGGAACCGTTTCGGAAAACTTTTCTTATTAAGACATTGAAGCAATGAAAAATTGCAATTTAAGATTTTTGCAAAAAAAAAATTAGTTGAGTGTCAAATTTTGATCAGTTTTTGAAATTTAAGTTTTTTGAAAAAACTTATGAAAAAATAACAAAAACGTCATAACTCGAAAGCTAGAAGTGGTTGATCAGCCATATTTGGAAGCAAGAATTTCCATCCCTGAAAGTACACTGACAGCCTTTCACCAATATATAGTTTTCGAAAGTTCTTCAAAAAATAAAAAAAAACGTCATATCTCGGAAGCTTAAATGATTTGAACAGACATATTGGAAGGCAATATTTGCGACTCCTGAGAGTATCCTGACAGCTCCCCATAATAGGTTTGGGAATTTCAAATTTTGGCGTTAATCACTCAAATCTCGAAATTGAAAATGTTTCTCAAAACTTCAAGACAATCTGTCTAGACGCTTGACCTAAATAAAGATCTTGAGTTAATACTTATCCATATTATTGATAGAAAAAACTTCGAACTTTCATGATTTTTGCTTGGTTAACAAGAGGCGCCACTGACAATGTCTAAGCAAAAATCATTGCTTTTTGTTAACCATTGTCCCCTACAAAAATTGTATGAAAGATTCATGCAAGATTGACAGAGTAGCCTCTTGCTTTTCAGCGAAATCAGAATGGTTGCATAAAAATAGCTCAGATTTTTTCCACAAAAAAAAATCCTCCTGAATTTTTTCCATCTAAAAATAATACTTTTCAAAATTTGAAGTTTGCTCATTTTTCGAGTAGAATGGGGAGCATATTGAAACTAAAGTTCACGGGTTAAAAATAGCTTCCATAATATTTAATTACGAGTAAAAAATCTTTTTGGAATATGGTTATATTTAATTAGAATAAAAAATCTTTTTGCAATAGGATTCTAAAAGGCTGAAAAGGATTTAAGATGGTTCCACATGAATCGTTTACGAGATTGATTTTTCAAGTAGTCAGAACAATGAATTGCGATCACTTTCAAAGAAATTGTTGAAGGCAAAAAAAAGAATTTTCAACTCAGCAACTTCTAAAAGCCCGGTCAAATACGTGTATAAATACGTGTCCAAGAGTGCTCAACAACGCAAACTTACAAGCGCATTAAATAAACATTGACAGAATCTAATGCCATGACTACTCGCAGCACAAATCGACTTCTTCATAGACCGATAGACCCCTCCCCCCTAGAATATTGACCCCTCCAAATTGGTGATTGGGGGGACCGGGTATCTGAATGGACCCCACCGAAATTTTATACCATAAAATTTATACCCAAAGTTTTAGAAAATTATGCCATTTTTGAGAGCTCCAAATAAAAAAAAATTCAACGCAAAACAATTTTTGCCTGGTTTAAATAACGGAAATTTTATGCCACTTTTATGTTCAAGAAAATTTTTGGCTCAATTTTACCATTTTGTTTATCAAAATTAATACAAAGTTGTGGGACTCCCTGATAATTTTGAAGCCCCGGCAATGAAAAACTGAAAAACGCCTTTTTCGTTTAAAAAATGTCTAACCACCCCCGGCAATTTTCAGCCCTCCGCGACGTACTGCAGAGTATGTTTTAACTGCTGAGCGTGTCTGACCTGAAAGGCACGAAGACTGTGTCCGGCTGCTTTTCTATTCCGGAGGAGGCCGCCTGCAGGTTTCCATGGGTCATCTCCACAAATGTCCTCGCCATGTCCAGCACCGAGATGTCTCTGCTCTTGGAGATTAGGGAGAAGTTGAGCTGGTTCTCCAGACAGGGGTCATGTTTGTCGTCTAACATCAGGAACGCCCTCACAAGAGCCTGCTGCTCGTCATGACGCTTCCCAAATACGAAAAACTTGGCCTGGTAGGGCACGATCATCGCCTATATAAATAAATAAATAAATAAATAAATTCTCAGGATACCACTTAAATTCGGTATACTTTCTAGAATGAAAAAATGGAATCCTGGCGCCAAAAAAAACAGATATACACGAGCGACGCTCATCGTTGAAAAAATTGAATGAAATCTGTTAAGGCGGAGATGAGTTAAAATAAAATCTTCTCAGCTAAAAGGATAGAAATTGACCTATTTTTGCAACGCCGGTAATTCTAATTTTAACAACTCACTTCTCGGTAGAGCTCAGCGGCCATCTTCAGATTCCTGTCCAACACCATCTTACCCTCGGCTGACTCTGAGCTCGTATTTTCGGGCATTGCGTACTCGATGACCCAATATCGCCCTGAGATCATAGTCGTGAACGCGATTCTGCCATCTTTGTCTGGCTTGTTCAAAACAAACGACTCTGTTTTGTCTTCAAAGACCGAGGGATCTGTCTTGGCCTGGACGCTTCTAAGGACTCTCAATTCTGTCTTCGTTCCCGCGGGCCACGCTGGGTAGTCACTTGAAGGGTGGGGAAGGTACACTGTGAAAACTTGATGAAAGCGTCTTCTTTGAGGCTCGACAGTAACCACTGGACTGCATCTGAACTTGGACCCACAAATCCTTCTGACCAAATCAGTCGGCATCTTGTACACTTGGAGTCCGATTTCAATGGTCTTTTTGAGAGCCTCTTCGGGGAAGGACAATTGTACATGTGCATGAACAGATGAAGAAAGTAGGCCTCCTTTGGGCCCGATGGGACTAACGTCTTTCTTTATTCGCGAGATCAGAAGCATCACCTTTGGGAACTCTCGCATGATTACTCGACAGATTCGAGGAGTCTGTAAATCTTCTTGGGCGATCTGATCTAAAATAGCCCAAAAAGTAAAAACTTTCTTGAAAAAACATTCAGCTTCGCAGTGAAAAAGAGTCGCGCTAGATAATTCTAAGATGATGATGGACTTATACGACTTCATGAAAATCACAGGACGATGAAGCTCTGTATCAATTAATATCATAAACACGCTATGAAAGCGCGTCGTCAATTTTAAAGGTTATGAAGAAATATTTTTAGAATACCAATCAGGTCAACCTTGTATGACAACTTTTGGACGATTAAATTTTAACCATTTCCATTTAGTATGTCCGGTTATTGGGATTGATTTAGCTACATACCGATGGTGCTTTTTCGCGCTACAAAATAGAATAAGGTCAAACTAAGGCTAAATAAAGCTGAAAGAAGGTAATCTTGTCTGATGAACATCGTATGAAGGACTCATTGCTTTCGAAAAACAGCTTAGAAATTCTCTCGCTACCCCATAAAAGAATGATTAAGTATTATCTGAAGTGTCCATCACTAGATCAAACTCGCCCGCTAAGAATGGACTTGTTTTCATATCTTTGAAAAGGAAGTTCACACTTCGAGCCAATAACTAAATGAATAATTTAGGGTACACTCTAAGCGTATCGTACAGCTAATACATGCATCTTGCTGTGAACTAAATGAGCACAAAACTTCACTTGATCGTGTTTGGTTACCTTCGGTGGCCATGGAGATGTTGAGAGCCTCCTCGATCTGTTTCTCCAGGGGTTCCTGCGTGTGTTCCGTCCACACTCCCGCCTCACTGCAGTTCAGCACTGCTATCTCCCTCTGCCCATTGCACAAGTCCGCAAAGTGGGGCACCTCCAGAATCACAGTACTGAACAACACACAACAACACTGCATATCACGCACCAAAAAAGTTAATGACTCCTTTTTTATATTGATTTTATGGCTTTTTGTCAGGCAAAACTTTCCAAAACAGACTATGGAACTAAAACACAAGAAATATAGAAAAAAAAAGAAAAACCTGGCGCTTTCTCACTGCTACCACGCACAAAACCAGCTTAGATAACACATTCAGTTAATATCACATATCGAATTAGATGAATACAATTTCTTGATTTTTTTTAATTGCGCGTTACCCGTTGAACTTGAGATGTGGCGGGTCCATCTCCAGAGGTCTGGCTGCGAATGCCTCTCCCTCCGCCTTGGGGTATTTCTTCACCATCTTCTCAGGTCGGATGTATCTGCACTTGATCCTAGTGGGCTCATCCACCCTCCTTGGGGGAATTATGATCCTGATGCCAGAATGTCTGGCTCCTCTCTGGGTCACACCTTTCGCTGTCACCACGAAGGACACAAAGAACCTGCAAAGCGTAAAAAGTGTCACAATCAACCGAAACTTGAATTATTCCCTATACGACTGAATAAATACACGGCGCAACAGGTTGATAAAGCTAACGAAACGTATTGTAACCTAAATTAGACATGCATTCAACTCGGCAGCAGTATTAGCACAACTATTTGACATGAATAAATTTTAAACAATTCCAAAATTGAGCCATTGGCACTTTATTATGCTGTCGTGGCTTTTTCACCGAACAATCTTGAATTTGACGAAGATACAATATAACAGATGAACAAACGATACAATTTAAGAACCTCGAATCGTGTTGGATCGTTATAGTGGACGTATAGTGATATAGCGAAGATGCTATATGAATAACGAACTAGTATATCGTTTGAACAGATAATATACCTTGTGCTGAAGCCATGAAAAGAAAGGAAAGTTAGTTATGTCGTTAGGAGAAACCAGGTGGCTCTGAAGCAAAAAAAATCTATGTAGAACAATGATAGCTCGTTAATGTGCAACTAGCACAGAATGTTCCGACCATAGTCTTGAAAAATAACAAACAAAGTATTTTCAAATTAGTGTCCTTTTTTCTGCGTGATGTGATAAAAGGCTATGAACGAAAAACTGGGACTTATTCGACAGTCATAGTAAAATAGGCAAACTGGACAATATAAAGCGACGAAGCCCGTATAAATTAACCGCAACTTTTCAACACGAATTAACAATTTAAGCAAAAAAACAATGGAAATAAAACTCAGACCGTTTACAACCAATATGGAAATAAAATTAATAGAAAATTAACAGAACTTCAAATGCAGACATGCTCAAAATTGATCTGTTGACCAGATATGTCTGCTGGCGAAATTATTCGGTGATGTTGTTTAACTAATTGTTAACCTGAGAAAAAATGTTCCGATTTGACAACATTTGCTGATTGCAAGTGATATTTAATAAAATTCAATTTAATTTTTATTTTAATCAAGGTTCCCGATGCTACGAAGAAAAGCCACCTACCCAGCCCTCCTGGATCTAGCGAGATCTATTCCATCGTCGCCTCCTTCGTCGCTCATGGTTCCACTTTTCATTCTGTTCAAGTCTGTCACTGAGAGTCTGTTCCAGGTCTCGTACCTCTCCCTGTAAGAAGAGATGGTCAATCCAGAGATGTTGGAGGTGCCACTCGTCGGTCGACTGGCGAATCCGCCGATGATGTCACCGCTGGTTGGACGCGAGTCCTGCCAAAAACATCAAAATAGATGGTCCATATTGATCAAAAGCAATTTATTGAGAACGTAGTATGGATTAAAGTTGACATAAATACTTGCCTTGATAGTCCACAAGTTAAATGATAAATTAGACTGTTACAGAAACTTTCAAATCACGTTTTAAGCACAGCGGCGAAGCTTGCTATCAGAGAAAAAGCAAGCATAATTGAAAAAAGTACAAGAGTTACTTCGTTTGTCTGCTTTCGTCGAAAACTGTGAGCTCAAAACAAACCCAGGCCAGTACTCTTCTAACGAAAACAAAAACAGCTGGAAAGCTTTCATGGTAACCGGAAAAAAATTGTTGCATTTCTTAAACAAAATTAAAACTTGATTTTTGGCGAAACATTTATATCACAATGAAACTCTAGGGTTTTGAAGAATCTTTTACGATTGGCACTTTTTTTCATTAACCCAGCCCAATTAGAGAAAACTGGCTCATTAGGTACTTTTTCTATTTCGCTGGGATTTCTGAGAATTTAAGTCAACTTTGAAATTAAATGTAATTCACGTTTTTTCGCCCAATTTGCACTTTCGTTATACGGAAGCGTGATTTTTTTTCCTTCAAACAAATGAATCTATTGATTGAAAACAAAATCTCAGATTTGTTAGGTTAGTTTTTGAGAAAACAAAAAAAAATCAAAAATATCGGTTAAAAATTCCCTCACAGACTTTTTCGAAAGCTGCAGACAAAGGGGTAAAGCAAAAAGAGACCAGTAAAGCATGCAGCCACACAAAAATTTAGTCGATCTTTCTATCCATAGCCTTGTTTTTGAAAATCGGTAACGAAGTTTTTGAGAAAAAAATACTATTTTTTTTTGCAAAAAGTGATACAATTTCCCGTCTCAGCGTCTCAAAAAAAAATTTAAGCAATAGTCATAATACCTTTCATAATACCTGTTTTTATCAAACAAGAATTCTAGGCAAACATGCCAACCAAGACATTTGAAGTTGGAACTTATGAAGCGGAAACAAGGCCGACAATCTTTGAGCAGACACCAGTTCGGCCGAAAAAAAAATACTTTAAAAAATTCAAATCCCCCAGAAACTACCCTGAGGTACCTTAGTACACATACAGTAGATAAATTTGAATTTTCATGAAATTGAGCATGCAAAGCAGCATCATAAATGATTCAACTGATTTTGTTACTCTAGTTGTTAACCCGAAAAATTCCAATTTCATACCGCTTGATAGTCGCAAGCATAATAATATACCAGGCTGAATATTCGGTAAAAAAGTAGTTCAGTGAAAAAAAAAACAAATTCATGTTCCCGGCTACAACCCTCTCCTGATAATGAAAGCATATTGTCAAAATTTAGAGAACGTGGAAATGTACACTGACGGGGTTGAGGAAGGAGTTGTTGTTGAAGGTGTTGAGTTTGCTGGTGGTTGTGCTGAAGATGATGTCATCCTGGTTGAGCCAGTCCTCGTCCTCATTGTTCACATAGGGACCATTGATGTCATCAACTACACAACAATCATCAGCTAGTTATCCATTACCATAATATGGTATGGTTGCATCAGTTAAATCTACGAGGGATCAGACCACACCTAGCGTTAATTTCTAGCCCCGATTATGTCGAGCAATAACTTAAATTAGATTCCGAAAAGCCTCACACAGTGTCATGTCAGAGCACAGAATGTTCCGATCACAGTATTTTTGTAGCAGATTTCATTAAACTTCAATCTGAGTGCAGCAAGCTTCTATCTGAAGATATTTTTCAGTGTAATAGTAATAAATCTAATATAATAGTCTCTTTGTACTAAGCCCCACTGAATATAAAAAGACTGCACTCTTAATCTATGCAAATACCTTAACGTAGCCGTCTGACAGTTGGAAAAGAGTAATGAACGCAAGGAAACAAAAACTGACTTTTTGAAAAAATTTCAACTTTCGAATTTTCAAGTAAAAATTATATACCCTTAAAGCTCTTTCAAATTCAAGAACAATTTATGATTGGTTCTATTTTTGATAAAATTAACACAATATGAGAAAACAGGATTAATAGGTAAAATTTTAATTCCGCTGGGACATGTGATACTTAAATTCCACTTTCGAAAATAGAATTCGATCACAATTTTCACGACCTTCACACTTTTGCTGTCCGATAGTGGAATTTGTCTTTCTTTTAGCAAAGAAAATGAACTTAACTTAAAAAAAAAACAAATAGTCAAACCGCAAAAAATCAAAACTGAGCGCGACGAGTTTCCTGAAAAAAAATCACCAAGACCTATGTAAGAGTACTCGCAACGTTCATTACTCTTAGAAATTTGCATTCGGAACATTCGCTTTGTCTCTGATTGTTCGGCCTCTAGAGCCAATCTTCCCGTGCTCGTGTACTACATGATTCAACAGTTAAAAACAAACAAAAATATGGGGGCGAAGCATTAACAACGAACTGTTTGTGTCAGAACCTTCTTATTTGCTCATTATTCTTAGGAAAAAAGCCCAATTTAAGTTGAAGACGATATTTATCTTAGTATTGATCTAGTCAGGTTTGAGATCTTATTATTATTTTTTGGCACATCCGTTAGGTTATTTATCGAATCACTCGTGATGTCTTGTACATTTAGTTGAGCTAAAGGAGATAACACAACATTAGTCGTCCAACAGTAAACATTCCCTATGTTGATGTACAAACCCAGCATCAAATCGCCTGAAAATGGGGAAATATCACTCAAACTAAAATTACGGAAGAAGAGCTACTGAATACTTGATTCTAGAACACATTCATGCATATGATTACGGCAAATGTTCGTCAAACCTGACTAAATCAAGCACTCATTTTTCACATATAATAAAATATATTGCAACATAGCTTGGGTTTTGATATTTTGAAGTTTTATTGGTCCCAGTGAAATTCTAATTGAAGGGAGTACACTAGTGGGGTAAAAAATTCACTATTTTAGCAAAAAATATTGGTGGTTTATCTTTCCTTTATTACAATTCATCTTGCATCAATAACAATTCGTCAATTCAAAAAAAAAATCTTGCAGCGTTTAACCGATAGAAACTAATAACCGATACTAATTTGACCTTTTTTCTGTTGTTTGACTTGACCTCATTAGACATTTTGTTCCCAAATACTCCACGTAACCGGCACAAAGCCTTTGAGTTTTTGCGCGCAATGTTTAAAGGAACGCTAAGTATCTTTGCCTAAATATCCGTTCCTCGCATAAGTGTCCCTCATAAAAATATTAATTGAAATTTTGTAAACTGATATGATTTGTCAGACAAATTTGGTAATAGGAATTAATCACTTTTCAAGTAACGTATTATGTTGAGGGGAAATTAAGCGAGGGCGTAGTTAAGTTCTTTAGCTTTCCAATAAACAGACTTGAGTCCGAAAATGCTCGAAAATTCCTTTGGCTGTTTACGACACCTTGGAAACTACCTTTATATTTTGGATTCGACTAGATGGGTGAAAAAATAGCGACCAAATTATCTGAAAACTGTATAACAAGGAAACCGAAAAATTTAAAATTCTTTGAATTTCAAGAATTGTTTATGACTGGTATTTTATGATTGGCAGAAAACTGTATCAAAAGAAAATTTGTTTTCTTCTGCTAGGAATTCAGAAAATGCAAGGTCATTTTTAAAACTAGAAGTCATTTACATTTACGCAAAAATAGAAAAGCGAGGGAAGAGCTAGCCAACAAAAATTTGGAAGAGAGTCTATAAACGCAAAAAAAACGGACTTGTTTTTTTTTAACTTCGAATTTCAGTAAAAAAATATATGGCCTCAAAGCTTTTCGAAGTTCAAGGAAAGCAATTTATGATTGACAATTTTTGATAATTTAACTCAATTTGAGAACTTGGATCAATAGGTAAGTTTTAATCCGTTGGGAAAATCTGAAATGTTTAAATACATTTTCGAAATTAGAAGTTAATCACGTTTTTCGTGCCCTTTACACTTTTTGTGTTCGCTGCACGCATTTTTGTACACAGAGGCGAAGCCTAGAGGCTTCCTAGCATGCCGAGTAATTTTATACAAGAAAAAGGCCTTGAGCAAATATCGTCAATTTGTTTGAAATGATGATTTCCAAATTTTTCATAATTCGAAACAAAATATCTTGAATACCACAACTGGTACTATTACAGAATTTTAGAATCAACCATAACAGAGGCGAGCTGTTATTAGCAAGCTAGAGTAAAAAAAAACGATCTAAAAAACGACAAAAAAATTAAAACCCTAGTAGGCAATTAATGGGACCCATCTGATTGCCTCAAAAATGATTGCCTTTGAAATTAAAACTTTATCTCGTCGTAAATTAGATTATTTAGCCTCATAAAAAGCGCATATAATTTAGTCAAACAAGCTGACAAAAGGCCAACTTGTAAGCCTCACAATTTTAAAACTCACCTGCGACCGTGAACCTGGTTGTCTTAAGTTAAAGTTGATGGGCTCTTTCAGTAACGCCAACAAAAAATCTTAACTTACGGAAGAAAACCTACTTCAAAACTTTTTTTTTTTTTTTTTTTTTTCAAATTTCGTTTTTTTTTTTTTTTCATTAAATATTAGTGTTAAATCGTTATGTTTGAACAACTTAAGGGTAGACCCTGGAGGACCTTTAGGTCCCGTTGTCTATCCTCTCTAAGTCGCATCATTTAACTTAAATTATAAATATATTCAATGTTGTATTTAATGCTGACTAGAGAAATAAATTCTTTCTTTCTTTCTTTCTTTAAATTAGATTATTTAGCCTCATAAAAAGCGCATATAATTTAGTCAAACAAGCTGACAAAAGGCCAACTTGTAAGCCTCACAAAATTAGGTCTCAGGTCAAATATCTTTCACATTTGACATCAGGGCTGTGATAGTTTGCAAAGGCTTCACAAAATGTCCCTCGAAAACAACTATTTTAGGTTAAAATGCATTGAAAGTTCAAATTTCGTCAAAAACAGTGGACTCACCGTAAAAATACGCCATGTTTTATCATAAGAACAGTTTTGAGTCCAACTTAATTTTCTAAAAATTTACTTTAGTTTGCGGACTTTCGATATAAATAGATTACGATGCATTTAACTTCTTCATTTGAAGGAAACTTTGATGATCAAATCTCTTTGAAGTGATAAACGATCTTAGAAGTTCTGATCGATCGATCTCATCAACAAATTGGAAACAAGAAATGATCACGTGGAACACATATTGCATCTTAAAAACACAAAAACGGACACTGCACGAAAATAGGAAATTAACATGGAGGCGTGGCGAAGCTTTGCACCAGTTGCCATACGATACAAAAAAAAACGCATCGCAAACTAGCCGACAGATAATGAGACAAGAACTTTTCGTTTGTCTCGATTAACAATCTTTCAAACTTTGAGTGTCCTGAATTAAATTGCATCACATTGAAGCTCTTTCAACTTCAATGAAATTTTATCTTTGACAAAAGCCGTCCAATTTAAAAAATATGGCTTTGGAGAGATTTTCGATGCCATGGTAAATTTTGAAAAAAACATAGCCAACAGACATTTTGAAAAGAGTCAATGTACGCAACTCAAAAAATATAGTGACTATAATTTTTGAAAAATCTTGAAAATAAGTTCCACTTTTGAATCTAGAAGCCGATCAGTTTTTCGTGACTTTTACACTTTTGCTTTTCGATAGTAGAAGTTGTCTTCCTTTTAAGAAAAGAAATAAACTGAACTTAAAAAAAAACCATAGGTAAACCCGCGAAAAAGTAAATCAGAGTAGAGCCTGAACAAATTTAAGGACTTTTCCTGAAAAAAAAAACGAACAAAAAACCATCAGCATCTATATAAAAATCTGAAATACGTTCATCATCTCTAAAAAAATCTAGTTTTGAAATTAAACAACTATAAGCATCAATTCCACTTTGGTGACAGTAAATTATATCAAAATTTGTATACATACAAAACTGAAACACCAAGCAAGTAATAAGATAATCAGAGAAACTGTCCAAATAAGCAAAAAGCGGGCGCATAGACCTAAAACACTCCCGGCCCCTTTGAACTTTTAAGCTCGTTTTTGCCAATGCCATTTAAAACTACAAACATGGCCAGCAGACGGACCCAAGGAAACTGAAAAATTTCAAATTTCGCAAAAATTTCAAATTTCAAATTTCGCAAAAATATACCGCCTTAATGTTCTTTGAATTTCAGGCATCCTTTATGATTGACACTTTTGGGTCAAAAGGTAAATTTCTATTCCACTGGGAACTCTGGAATTAAAATACCTTTTGAAATGAAAAGTATTTAAAGTTTTTTGCGCCATTTGCAAGTTTGTTGTTGGCGAGCTTAATGTGCTTTACATTTAGCAAATGAATTAAAATTGAACTTGAAGAGAAATCAAAAATCAAACCGAAAAAAATGTGAGCATGAAAAAATTATAAACTTGTTGGCTGAACAAAAAAAACCTACGTTAATATAAGTGTTTTCACTGCGGTCATTGGCACTAACATACACAAATAATAAAATAATTTTGCATGCTAATTATATTATTGCCATGAAACAGAGCTTCAAATGTTATCACAATTGTGTTGTCTGTCATCCATATTCGAATTCAGCAGCTTAGCCGTATTAATTAAAATTATTAGTTAAGCCTGAACAATTGAACGAATTGAGCTCAACCAAAACTATTAGTACTTTTTAGGGTCTACTAAAATCAAGTAAGAATGAAGCCATCACTCACTGTCGTCCTCCTCGATGTCTTCGACGTTGAATGTCTCAATGGACTCCGGCTTGTGCTCCTGAGCAATGTCCTTCTCCATCTCCTAAAACACAACACACAACTCTGTTAATCACTGCTACAACAAACTAACCACTGGCACGATATACGCAGATCGCAGATTTTTATCAATTATCAAAATCTAAGAGAGTCTCTGTTTAGCGATTTTCCAAACATTATAAACAAAATTTTTAGATAGCTCGTTTTCCATTCATAATAAGGGCTCTTTTTAGGTATTCATAAAATTAAAATAGTTACAGGGTAATGTTTTATTTGGGTTGAAAAAATAATTGTCAAAAAATCATTGTTTTGTTTCCATTCTTTTTGAACAAGCGCTTGGCTTCAAACCATCGATTTTAATGAGAAAAAATTTTAATACAAAAACATGGAGGCAAAACTAAAAAGAGCCACTTCGGATAGATGGGGTGATTCTTAAGGCAGAACAACCGAATAACAAAAGTTGCAACAAATAAAGGTCCTTTGCATAGACCAAAATGAACTAAATTTCGAGCTAATTTTTCAAATCAAGATTTCTAATGGACTGGTGGCAAATTTCGATATTCGGTTCAACTTTCACGAGGGATTCCATGTGACAGACTATTCAGAATAAGATAGAAATTTAGTATGAATAACAGATTGATTACTGGGATTGTTTGAAACAAAAATCGCTGAACAAAAAACGTCAAGTATTCAAAGAGGCAGATTTCATTTAACTTTACTCCTCCAACTTTTATAGCGCGCAAAAAAATAAATCAGATAAACATAATTAACTAAATTTCATAACCCAGAAATTTCATTTTTAAAACTTCAACATCAACTGTTTCCAGAAAAAGACGTATATTCAGGAAAACATTGCCATATGGCAGTTAACCAGACTTGTTTCGGCAAAAAAAAACCTCGGCTCAAAAAGCTAATGGCGTCAACATAACTACAATCGCTTCTGAAAAACAAAGACTATTATTTGAAATATAATATAGGCAATATAACTTTTATTTGAAAAAAAAGAATCACTACACTTCTGCTGCTAAAGAAGTACTGAATGCTTCTATTTCAGATTCATTATAGATGACCACAGCAGCAGCACAAGCACCTTTACCAGCGGAAATTAAACTGGCGAGCAAAAATTAAGCATGTATTTAGGAATTTCTATTATATCCTTGGGCAAAAAAAACAGGGACCATTTAACGCTCATTTACGGAAGAAATAGCTGTTCAATTCTACCCTGCAGGCACATAATCATGCGGCGCTGAGCACACTTCATGCAAAATTTAGGAGAATCTACCGTTTCCTGGTTAAGACACTAGACTACATACTATATAATACTATGCACAGATATGGAAACATATATGGGTTCCAAACTCTAAATATACAAATTTAGTGCTGGTATAGTTCCCTCATACTATGAAGCCTGAATTGTGAACTCTTGGGAACTATGAGCCCGTATCCCTCAATGTTTAATAATAGACCACCAACACTTCACTCCGAGCAAGGCAATGTAACAAACTATAACACTTCTCTCTGGGTTCTGCAAGTTATTTGTGAAGTATTTGTCAAAGTCGACATGTTGAACGAGCTTTTAGATTACGAAAGATTCCGTGTCTAACAGAAGGTTTTAAAAACATCCGTTTTTCTCGCGTTACCACTATGGTAGCAGAAATCAGAAAAATAACACTAGGGTCGAATAGCAATGATATCATAATAATAAAACAGAATTTCAAAAAGTTGTCATATCCTTCATTAGCACATAACGTGTTTAAACAGACATAAATGCTGTCACCTTGCGTGATTCAAATTGGTCTATACTTCTCTGAAAAGTAACAATGATAGCCAGTTGATGTGCAAGAAGCACTGAATGTTCCGAATTAGTTAAATAAAATCAAACATAGCCAACAGACAGTTGGAAAAAAGTAAAACAAATAAAAAAAATCAGAAAAAAAGCTGATAAAAAATTTCTGAACATTTTTCAACTTGCGAATTTAGAAAAAAAATATTACGTTGCAGCTCTTTGAAGTTCAAATACTGTTTAAAATTGGCCTTTTTTTGGTGAATTTTTCCCATTTGGAGAAAACTGGATTAGTGGGTTCTTATTTGATTCCGCTGAGAATTCAAAAAGCAAAACCCCATTTTTGAAATTAGATGTGATTCACGTAGCCAACAGACATAGCCAACAGATAGAAGTCATTCACGTTTTTCGTGAACTTTCCACTTTTGCTGTTCGTGGAATTTGCCTTCATTTAAAAAAAGCAGATAACTTGATAAAAATCATGTGCCAAACCGAGAAAAATCAAATTTGAGCATGACAAAATCTAACGAATTTTTCTTGAAAAAAAAACAAACACGAAAAATCATCCAGACCAATATACGTTAAAATCGCTTCGTTATTTTACACTTAAGAACCATAGCCAACAGACAGTTGGAAAAGAGTCAATGAAAACAGAAGGAAACAAAAGGAACACTGACTAGTTATTTCATAAACTTCAATTTATAGCCTTAAAGCTCTTCGAATTTCAAGAAAAAATTATGAGTGACACTTTTTTGATAAAATTAACCAAGGTGTAAATTGCTTACTCCACAGGCATCTGAAACTTGAATTCCAGTTTCGAAATTAGAAGTCGATCACGCTTTTCGTGACCTTTATAATTTCGCAGTTCGTTAGTGGAGTTTGCCTTCCGTTCAACAAAGGAAATGAACTGAACTTGAAAGAAACCAAATTCAAACTGCGAAAAAATTAATTTAAGATTGAAAAAAAATTATCTCGACTTATAAAAGAGTCTGAATTACGCTCATAGACTCTTGATAAGGGAACAACGAAAAAACGTGGAAAAAAAATATTTTTACCATGTTTTTTTGGCAAATAATTAGGTAGAAAGGCACAGAACGAGAAAAAGATAGAGCTAAAATAAAGAGTAAACTGCAAAAATATAAAATCAGTGACATCAAAATCGAGTTGTCAGTGTCAGCAAATATCGTGAAATTTAATATGAAAATAGGAAAAGTTCAAAACAATTTTACACGACACTGTGACAACTTTTAAAAATTCTTTGGAGTCCAAATTACAGCTAAAATAATTTCAGACAGAGGCGAAGCTCCATGTGAACACACATTTTAAAAACCTTGAAAAAATATATTTTTCTATACGCCGAAAACGAACTTCTGTTTCGCGTGCGATTTGGTTTAACAGCTTCATGAGCGATTTGTTTTTTAAAAAGTGAAATCGTATAATAACACTATGCTCGCTAGTTTGCGTGTGTAAATATGATCGGAAAGCATGATCACAACCTTGAGGTTGCGAAAATCGGGAAGCAAGAAACCTAGCGAACAGACAGTTGGAAAAAATCAATGAACAAGGCCATGAAAGATTTAATTTTCGAAAAAAAATCAAGTTTTGAGTTTCAAAAAAATAGATCAACGATTTTTTCACAGAGGCGAAGCGGAGCTTCACACCACTTACAATACCACAAACATACAGCATCGCAAGCTAGCAGACAGAAAATGAAACAAAAGCAACTAAGTCGAAAAACAATTATAATGTTCAGAAAAACTATGACAACAAAATTTTCAGAACTTTGTTTGGAATGATATTCAATTTAAAAACACGTTTATTAAGTATTCAGACATAAAAACTCTGAATCAATTGGTAAATAAAAAATCTGAATCAATGGATAAACTTTTTTTCAGCTGGAAATCTAAGAATCAAAGTCCACTTAAGCGATTAGTAACCGATCACTTTTTCACGCCATTTTCTTATTAGTAATTAAATAGCGCAATTTTCCTACCTTTTAGAACTGGAATTGAAATCAGAAACTGAACATATAATGAATTATTATTTGTATTGCATTTCTGTAGTTATTAGAGCATTTTAAGCCTTTTCCTGAAAATATATATCACACAGAGGCGAAGCTGCGCTTCGCTAACACTAGCAAGAACACGACACAACGCGGCTCTATAAAGTGCAAAAGGAACGAAGAATTAGGCCTGGAATTACTAAAAACTCGGCTATGTCTCGGATTCGAACCTACGACCAAAAGATTATTTATCTCACGCACTAACCACTCAGCCACGGACGCTTACTTAATCACGGACGCTTACTTAATGAAAAACCTAGCCATAGAACCGATGCTAATTTCCTATCATACAGTGAAACTTTCTTATAAGTGAACTTTTTTGCGCGTTAGGTTAAAAAAGAAGTTTCGTACTAATACACTAACGCTGGCAAGTGTGATCAAGACTTACACAAGTGAAAATCTTTGAAACTTCAAAAATTCAACTTTTGGATGAGTTTTTGCAAAGATAACAGCGGCCGCAATATTCTGTCAAACTCGCACAGCAACTCGAAATTCTTGATACATTTCTTGTTTGCTTTTGGAGCTAAATTTGGTCTATTACATCAAAATTTCTAATTAGAAAAGAATTTGATCTAAGCAAACAGGGGCAAAAGCAGAGCTTTGCACAACTTGCGACATAAAATGAATAATTCGCTGGCAGATGAACCGAGAAACTGAAAAATAAAAACTATTTTTCTCAAAAAGTATAAAATTTGCAATAAAATCCTTGAAAGAGTCTTGAAAATGAAAAAATTTTAAAAAAATTTCCACAAAGAGATGAAGCATCGCACGACTTGTGATATAACCTATAACTTAAATGACAAACAACCGACAACCATAGAGCTGAAAGCAGTAAAAACATCGAAAAAATAACCGAAAATTTTCCCTCATTTTTGAATTATAACTAGCGTGTAACGCATCTCCGGTGCTTGGGAATTTTAAGTACACTATAGAAAACAGCATACACTGGAAGTAACATATGCATCCTTTGAGTGTACAGCACCCGATTCCAGGGTCGGTAATTTTAAATTTTGTCAAATGTTTTTTCAAGTTTTTTTTTAATTCAAACGTTGAAAAACCATAAGGTTTTTACATCTTGGTTCATTTTAATGACACGAAAAAACGTCGATCTCCATATTTAAAAAAAAATGAGCAAGGTCGTTTAGACGAACGATCTATAACTCCTGAGAGTACTCTCACAGTACCAACCTACAGCGTTTTTCCTGAAAAACGATAAACAACGCCATATCTCAAAAACTACAAGGATTCGAGAAGTAAAACTTGGAGGTAAGATTTGCAAGCCTTGGAAAAACTCTGACTGCGCCCAATTACGGCTAGAAAATTCATATTTTTTTGAAAAAAAAAAATTAAATATGTTTTCTGAAAATTTTATGAAAAATCACATAAAAACGTCACGACTGGAAAACTACAAAGACTTGAGCATTAATATTTTGAGGCAAGATTCGCAACTCCTGAGAAAAGTCTGATAGCCCCCAAGTAAAGGGTTGGGAAACTCAAATTTGAAAAAAAAAATGAAATTTCTGAATCACAAAAAACCTTTTATCTCAAAAACTACAAGAACTTGAGCAGTCATACTTCGAGGCAAAAATCAAAACTCCTGGGACTACCCTGACAGAGCCTCTCTTTAAAGATGGTAACTTTAAGTATAGTGATTTTTTTATATCTCAGATCTTTGGACAACTTTAAAAAAAAGACATAAGATACGCTCCCATCGCGGAAACTAAGAGCGTTTGAACAGTTGCATTTTCACGTAAAATTTGCAACCTGGAACTCCTGAGAATGCCCTCACAAAACCTTACCACAAGGCTGAGAGTTTCAAATCTTTTGAATTTTTGAAATCTAAAGTTTTAAAAGTTTTCTGTAAAAAAATTAAAAAATCATAAAAAACGGCATATCTCGAAAACCAAAATGATTTGAGCAGTCATAATTGGATGCCAGGTTTGAAACCTTTGAAATTACCCTGACAGCACCCCATTATTGAGTTGAGAAATTCAATTCGGGTTAGTTTTTTTATATCTAAAATTTTGGAAAAAATCATAAAACACGTCATATCTCGAGAACTACAAGGTGAGGCAAGAACTGCAACCCTTGAGAGTACTCTTACAGCAATCAATTGCAGGGTTGGAAATTTTGAGTTTTCTGTTAATTTCTTTGTAATTTGGGTTTTCTGAAAAAAATTTGAAAAAACTAGATAAACCGTCTTATAGCGCACACTAAAAGGATTTGGGCATTCATAATTGGATGTCAAATTCGCCACCCCTGGGGGAACCCTGACATCATCCACTATTAGGCTGCTTATTTGAAACTCGATTAAAGAAACACTGAATTCAACTGGAAAGTCGAAGAAAGTTCTTAACCATTGCAATACGATACAGCTTAAACGTGAAAAAATTCTTTCGTTAAACATGCAAAAATAATAGGTTGAAAAAACTTGAGCGTGGCGAGAGTGTTAAGCCCGCATTTAAATATATAATAGATTCTGTTCATGAAAATATGCCACTACGCAAAACAATTCAATGTGAAATAAGCAGCAAAAATAACTTAAAAGGCGGTCACAAAGCCGATAGTTCTTGAGCAGACACCTTGCGCCGGAAAAAAAACGTTTTCATTAGAAAAGCTCGAAAACTAAAAAATTGACAAAACGTTTTTGCTCCTCAAACGGTACAAAAAGAAGCCTCTATGCCGATATTTTTAAAGCCCAAATATTTTAAGCCGAATAATGAAAAAAACAAAAAGAGCTGATAAATTGAAATCGAAGTTGGTAAATTTACAAACAACATTTGAAAAAAATATCAACACAGAGGCGAATTTGCACTTCGTATGCACATGCAAAAATATGACCGATAAAGCTACTGGGAAAAACTGAATGAGTAAAACTTACAAAATTTCAAAAGTGACGCAAGCCAATTATAACGCATTAGCAGTACCAGTCAATTTGAGAAAAAAGAATTTTACCAACTAACATGCCTCAATTTATAGAGCGGACGCATTTTATTTAGTATAAGAAAAAGATAATTAAAAAATCCGACCCTGCCCAGGTATGAAACCTCTTATTTTATTGCGGTCTCCTTCCCTACCTCTACGCTACAGATCCATGATACTTTTAAGCTAAAGCGCTAATTGTAATATAGTAGTGTATCAATATCCTTAGCATTGGCTGTACTTAATAGCTGTCATCTTGTTAACAAAGTTATTCGCGGAAAAAATTGTAGCACCCGATTGCAAAAACCCTTGCTTATTGCCAGAGTACAGAGACGAATTGAGAACATGCTTAAAGGTAGCTGAAAAAAAATCGAAAAAGCGTCAAAAAAATTAGAAGGCCAAGAATTATTTTATTTTTTCAAAGAAAAACATAGCAAACAGACAAAGTGTCGATGAATTCAAGAAAACAGATAGAAGAAAACATCCTTTTAAAGTACATTCAAAGAAAAAATTGTTGCCTTGTAAAACTTTATCCCCCTAAGAAATAATCCCCCATTCGCACTTTAATTAAAGGAGCGTTATTTTCTGCCTTTCAGCAAATGAATTTGATTTGAACTTTTAAAAAAATAATATAAAACCGCATAAAAATCAAATTTGAGCGTGAACAACTTTCTGACTTTTTCTGAAACTTAAAAAAATAATTTTTTCATTTTTTCGCATTCGCACTCTGCAGCTTTGTTATCAGAGAGCTGAAATTACCTTCTCTTTGTCAAATTAACTTACAATGATCTTAAAAACCCAATATAAACCCCGAAAGCAATAATTTGAGCATGAACAAATAAAAAAAAACACTTCTTTCAAATAAAAAAAAAACACGATCTAAAACAGTGTCTTCATTTCTTCATTGATACTAAACTAGATTTGTCACCACAGCACGATTGGTTCATCAACGCAAACAGCACAGAGGCTTTTATATGCCAACACAATTAATAACATTAAACATCTTTGGGATTACCAAAGATGCGCGTGAAAAAAATATCAGATGTCAAGTTATCAATTTGAGAGATAATCGGTACAAAAGATTAAATCACTAAAACGCAAATAAAAATCAGAATAAAATTTAAAAAACTGTTCTAGCTAACATTCGACGAAACAGATTGCAACATTTATAATACTACAAAAAAAGATAATTTAGATGAGAAGTCACTAACATTTTGCTCCTGAAATAGATAATTATAGCTGAGTAGAGTAAACTAAAAGTTTGGGAAGTAAATTTGAACCGCTTCTTGTTTACGCAATAATTGCAAAAGTTACTTACAATTGCCTTGTCCTAAAAATGAAGGAAAAATTAACGAAACTTACTTTTCATCGTGATTATCGCCAAATATTTCAACTCCAATTAAGTACATACAGATAAATTGATTCAAATCAGGAATCTTACAACGTTGCAATACAACCAGGTTGTAATGAACTGCTATTTCGATTAGGTTATTTAATTTTAAATATGGAAATGCCAATAAATTCTTCTATCAGTACTTCCTGAATATTCCGCATTTAACAATAAAGACACCTAAGTACCTTGCCTAAGTGCAAGTTCTATTTAAAGCTCCTAATGCAACAATATTAACGACGATTCAGCAAATCTTCATCGATTTAACAGGAATAATGCAACTTATAAGCTAATTTACGAGGAAAATCAAGGTGAAAACGACGCAATTAGATAGAACTACATACAATATTTTAGGGTACAAAATGTTTTAATAAATACCAAATGATTCAACATACGTTGTGTTTTGCTACAGCACGTTGATGTGAACTGATAGTTGAAACAAAAAGAGCAAGAGGGGATACCAACCATGGTTATGTTTCCGGTCACTTCGGTCACTGGTTTCAATACATTAATGACTGCAATGTATCTCTTCTTCTGAGCAATCATCAGGGGCGTCGCTCCACTTAGAGTCTTCGCATTCGGGTTCGCCCCCTCTCTCAGAAGGAGATCTACCATTGCAGTGTTGCCCTGGTGTGCCGCAATGTGTAGAGCCGAATGACCTGCCTCATTCGTGTCGTGCACCGAGCACCCAACTCGCAGCAGGTACTTGACGACGTCCATGTTGTCTAAGCAAAAATGAAAACATCAGCGCCCAATAAACATCTTGTTATAACCTTATGTAGAGTTATCATTTAAATTTCGACTGTCAGCCTATATATTTTCTATACAAATCCTCTTCAGCCAAAAGCCTTTCAAAATTTACACTTTTTTGAACGAATATTCATTAAAAACTACATTATGAGGATCAAATAGTCGCAATTTCACAGATGGAAAAACTTAATATAATTTGCCAGATTGAAGCATGAAGTAGCCAACTTCAACTTCAAAGGCCAGTTAGTTCTATTTGATGAACTATACGCATGAAATCAGTTATCTCAAATTAATTCACAGCTCATGTAAACGTGAGGCGACCTCATGGCTACTTTCAGAAGGTAAGCGACGAGAGATATGACAGAGAATTTTGACTGCCATACAACTTAACACTATCTCTTCAGCAATCAACACAAAACTGCTCGCTCAATTAGAAACCCCGCGTAGAGTTATACTTAACAAAAGTTATAAGAAGCTATTCGTTATGAATTTCCTTCAAACTTGCCAGCTTATGCCTTCTAAGCACCAGCCAATATTTGTACATAATACAAACTTCACTCTATCTTTGCCAAAAACCCAGAACAAACCCACAATCACTGCGTGATTATATAGTGCAAATACTTTGAAGCCACTACAAGTAGACTCCGTTAGCTGAAACAACGGTACTGGTCGACCGAATTCGGAGCTTAACATTCAGTGACCGTACCTAACTGAATCCGGCCACATGTTCTCAGATGTGTCCGAAGAATTGATAATCTGACAAACTTAGAAACATTATGCATTCAATTACAAACGGATCTTTCAACGCACGGAGAGAAGCTGAAACTCAGAATAAGACAATTTTATAACCAAGGCGGGCAATCCGGCGTCTTTCAAAAATTTTCAATTCGTCCGAGTTGCATTTCTGCTTGGTCGCGCGTAATTAATTGAGCATGACATTCTGAATGGTATTATGAATTGATCATTTTTATCAATGCTCGCTTCTCAATGAACAAACTAAAACTAGTTTACTGAGCAAAGCGCATATCAAAGCCACAATAACTAGATCTACGAGACCGACAACCATCTAACTATTGTCATTTTAGTCACAAATCTGTACTTTGTAGAATCAAATGGGCTCAACGGATAGTTCTTTTAGTTAGCTACTCGAGTATAAGCAACATCAGTTGTTTTTGAAGCCCATAATCTTCCGAGGAATATCAACTTGCTTAACTAATTAATTTCATAAGCTTAAATGAATGACTATTTTCGAATACGGTCAACCGAAAAAATAACAAATTTCAAAAAATTTATTTTCAAAAAATTACCCTCAAATCTTTTTAGAAATTCAAGAAACTTTTTATAATTGACACTTTTTTGACAAAATTAACACAACTTGAGCAAATCGAATCACTAGAAAAGCATTTTATTCTGCTGCAATTTAGAAGAGCATGATATGGCTTCCATTTAAGGAATGAACGTGAACTTAGGTTATAACATTATTCGGACCAAGTCAACATTCCCCCCCCCCCCCCCCCCCCCCGCCCAAATCCGTTTAGGGGGGAGGTTGTTAACTCGGTTCTGAGTTCGAATTTTCAGCCAATCAGAATAGACCATTTTATATGCAGCGCTTAGCAAATTTAATTTTAATTAAGCGCTGGGGTGGAGGATCTTAACTTGGTCTATTTGGGGGGAGGATGTTAACTTGATCACATTATTCCATTAAGATTTCTAAAAATTATTGAAACTAAGGCAGAAAACAAATTTTCGCGTTAGTTTTCTGACTGACCACCCCCAGGGGGTGGGAAGGAATTATGACGTAGGGTGTTTTCGGGTCAAGTGTGATATCAAAATAAAGCTCTTTCAGCCGTGATTAGGATTCCGATTTTCTGTGAACAAATTTCAAGACTTTTCCTGAAAAAAACATCGCGACCTATATAAAAGTATTCACTTCGTTCATCAAATCTTGATAAAATTCCTGCCTGTGACTTGCTCGAAAAACCGAGTGTTGGCTTTTCGTGGCATTGTTTGCAGATAGGGGGGAAAATAAATATCGCTTCATGTAAAAGTTAGCATCGAAAAACTATCAACCTACAAACTATTCAGTATTTTTAATACATGTCTGTGCCAATAACTTGCACTTGAAAAATTATTTGCAAAATTAAACAGAACAGCAAAAACAGTCCGCGGACTACTCTTGTGTTTCGAACTTTCGTGAAAAAATTGATGATTCACCGTTTCGCTTAAGCCAGGAAACTGCTATATCTTGCCAGATCGATTTTTTCTGGTATTTTTTTTCGCTTAACTTTTGACTCTGTTTCGGAGTATTTTCTCGTAACACTATCTTATGCATCATGCCTCTATCTAGCTCGCTCAAGCTACATGAAAAATAGTCTCTGGCCTTTCACAAGTAGTAAGCCGTAACTTTAAATGGCATCGAATCACTTTCAATAAATCCTTTCATCGATTTTATGCTTCACATGTTCCACCATCAAAAGAAATTTTGCAAATGCTATTTCATTTTAGACCAGACAACAGTGCAATGATAACATTTTCCCAGCACCAAGCTATGGCCGAAATTTACATTCCACTGGAAAACATTCGATATTGCATTAGGAGACTTGCTTTAAAAATCCGTAATAAATAAATGAAAGTATAACAATTTTGAGGTCGTAGCAATTTGAAACGTTATCTCCCAAGTACCCTCTATCGCCCATCTGCCATAGCACACTTAAGCGGCTGATAGATGTGACTCACATAGTATGGCAAATAATGAACTTATCAGTTCGATATACTCGGTAGGAAATGTCAACACTTTTAGTAAAATGAAGAATGAAAATTGATTCAAATTCTGGTGTCTCTCAGCGAATTGCTCCGCCTTGAGAAAAAAGGGGCAAATTTGATGCTAGCCTAGCTTCAAAACTTGATTATGCACCATCAATGTAACAGTCGTTATATGGACTGGAAACTCGTTAATCGGCACCAGGGGAGGTGTTTTTGTTAAACAGATCCGACAGCTGAATGAAAAGCGCCATGATTAGGAATCAGACAATGCACCATTGATTGGAACCCTCTCCAATGCTCTTTTAAAAGTTATCTTCATTTTATATCACACATTAAGTTAATTATTAAGGAAGTCAAGATTATCAGATAATAGGCACTAACTATGCTGTTGAACTCTTGACAGTTGATCTTTTATTCAGGCTAATAAATACTCTCTTCTTGAGGGTCACAAAAATGACATACACTATCAATAATGTTTTTTGTGTGTGTTTTTTAGCTCGTTAAAACTTCTCCAGTGATACAGTAACTGCATGTCATCAGTCAGTTGCGAAAATGTGACGATTTACCAACAAGTCAATCAAATATTAATTTCATTTTTCGTTGATTTATCGTAGTTGCCTTTGGGAGAATAACCTCACAAGCTTACGGGAACTGAAATATAGCTGAAATATACGGGAAAAGAGCTGAAATATACGGGAACTAAAAAGCCAACGTCCTTATTATTTGTATAGACTGAAAATCTATAACCAAATGACACGAAATCGGACGTCAGAACAGTTTGAAAGAGTTTTGTCAAAGAACTTTGAAAAAGATATGGAAGAATGATTTCGTGTATTATCAAAGGGAAGTTCGCAGATGCATTAAATGACAGCTCACTTTTTTCTCTCGTTTATCAAACTTAGAATTACGAGATAGGCCAAAAGCTCCACAAACGGTCAAACTACTCACAGCCAATCCATCTGATCGATTTTTTTTTCTTTCAAACCCTAAGCTCCCACACTAATTTAGCAAACAAAAATTACGATCGCTTTGCCCCGTTGACCAATGGAACTTTTAATAACAAAAAGTACAAAAACAACACTCCCTGGTTTTGAAACAATAATGGTTACAATATAGCATGGATGTACTGACTGTGGTGTATTGCGGTGAGTAGGGGCGTGAACCCGGCCTTGGTCCTGGTGTCTTTTGCCACTCCGAACTGCTCCACCAGACATGCACAGCAGTCCACACTGTCTGCCTCGGCCGACAGATGCAGCGGAGTCACCAGGTACTACAACAAACACATCACTAAATACTTGCTCTCACGTATTCTAGAATGATTAAGTAGAGTTCAGAAATAAAGACCAAGCCATGTGAACAATTTCCCTCCTAGACAAACCAAGTGAACAATTTTCCCCCTAAATTGGTTTGGTGGAGAGATAAACGTTGGGGTGAACATTCAGAATGGCCGACCAAAAAAATTTCACCGAAAGATTTCAACGCCCCCTCCCCATCAAAAACTTCAGCGCATGTCCCTGTGGATCCATCAAAAATAGTTCCGAATATTTCACAAAAATTTTTTTTGATTAATGCATGGCTCATTTAAAATTGCTTCAATCCAAAAGCTTCTATCATTTCAAATTTTTTCCGACAATCAGTGTAAAAAAGTTCTCAATGGTAATATTGTAGGATATAATAATCATAATAAATTGTTTCCAAGTGAAGTCATTGCACGAAGAGAATTAAAAATGAATACTTCTTTTGCAAAAACATCACTTGTGAAAACTGAAAAACCAACTCACAGCAGTTGCGATTTGAGGATCGCCTTTTGAGTTGACCAGCAACTGGATCATTTGCAGATGTTTCTCTCTCGCTGCCAAATGCAACGGCGCTGTACCGTTATCATTAGTGGCGTTTACATTCGCCCCATAGCTGATCAAGTTATGCGCATCTTTCCTGTTATCTCTCTTGGCTGCAATGTGCAGAGGCGTGTAGCCATTACTAGCCACACTATGCGGCGACGCTTTGCATTTTAACAAGATATTTGAAACATCGTGGTGCAAATAGTGCACTGAGACGTGTAACGGGGTCAGCATAAGCTTTCCGGCTAAGTCTGGATTAGCACCGGACTTCAAAAGCACTTGTGCGACTTCAGGTTTGTCGTATTTGGCTGCTAAGTGCAATGGCGACAGTTGTTTCTTCGTAAGGCAGTTCGGCTCTGCTTTGTTCTGAAGAAGGTACTCCACTACTTGTGGATGGCCCTCGCGCGTCGCCATGTGAATGGGTCTGTAGTTGTCTAGAGCTTCGTGCTCAATATCTGCCCCTCGTTTCACCAATAGTTTTACCATGTCTAAATCTCCGTTTCGTGAAGCTATGTGCAATGGGGTGAGTTTTTCCAAAGCCTCGGCGTTGACTTCGGCTCCTGGAGAAAATATATTCGCTTAGATAGACTGCATGAAAAAAATTACCATTGAATTGACCGCCACTATGAACAATCATAATGATCTAATGCGATTGTTTTTTTCTGTCGACTTTTCATAGAATATCAGTATCATCACCATCACTGTTGTTTTGTGCAACTTTAGTGTTCAAAAATGCTATACCATCGCATCGTGAAGACAAGTTAACCAACCCGAGAAAAATCCAATGCTCAAAATTTATTAGTTTAATTTTGTTCAGCAACAACTGGATTCTAACCGTTGTCTAGGAGCATCTGTGCTAAGTTGTAATGGCCTCCTCTGACTGCAAAATGAAGAGGCGACTCAAAATAGTTCTTAGTCTGGACATTGGCTCTGGCTTTACAATCAAGCAAAGGTTTCGCACACTAAAACATTGCAAATTGACATTGAGTTTCTGGAAATACAATCTTAGCTTCATAAACATGATTATAGCGTAAGTGAAGAGCACTTACGTCATCGAATCCGAAGAAGCATGCAACATGGAGAGGAGTCATTCCACTCTCGTTGGGGATGTTGGGGTCTGCGTTGTACTCTCTGAGAAGAAGCAGGATAATTCGGATTCTTCTCTTCTTCACTGCTATATGTAAAGCTGCATAACCGTTCTACATGAAAAAGATACATCCCATTAGATACGAGATAGCTCCCACAACGTTAGTTAACAGTGACCAGTTAGTGAGCATTTTTCAGATCATTGGATAATTTTTTTATTCAGAAAATTGGGTAGACTGATTTAAACTACTTTACAACAAAGCTATACAGACGAAATTATATCTCCGTAGGAATTTTTGTACGTAGGCAAGGGTACTTGGCTATTAATTTCATTGCTGCTAAGCGTTTTCAAAAACAATACAAAAAAATTCGAGATATACCTAATATTTGTCTCAGTGATCATTTATATAATGTACTCACGAGAGCCCTTGCGTCGGGTGAGGCGCCTCTCTCTAGTACGAACTTGCAGGTCTCGAAGTGTCCACAATGGGCAGTGATATGGAGTGGAGTGAGGAGGTCCTTGGTGACGTCATCCACTGGCAGTCCATGATGCAACAGGAGACGAGCACACGACTCATTGTTGCCCTGGGCTGCCATATGCAGAGCCGAGAGACCACTCTAGAATATATAGTAATCGATTAAATATCTTACAGCACGTTTATGCTAGTAGAAAACAGTTGCATTGCTTATGTCGAAAGAAATCAAATTAAAATTGAAACTTTTCCACCCAAAAACTGATACAAAAATAAGTCTATCTAAAATCCATTTCGAATTTTTGAGCAGTCAGGATAAGCACTTCGATGATCAAACAAAATGGCCGTTCTTTCAACTGAATAACCAAGCTCAATTCAAAGCAGACTGTTTTAGTATTCAGAAGTTGAGACCTTTGTTTTAATTTTGAAGTCGGCTCCCTTCACCAACAGCTTATCCACCACCTCATCGTGCCCATTTCGACTGCCACAGTGCAACCCCGTGAGGCCATCCTTCGTCTTGTAATCTATCTTGGCATTTGCATTCACAAACAGCTCCACCAAATCCACCTTGCCCCACTTCGAGGCAACATGCAGGGGCACTATGCTGTTCTTAGCCGCCTGGTCTACATGGGCACCAAAGTTCACCAGGTGCGTCGCAATTTTATAATGTCCATACCTAGCCGCCACGTGTAACGGCGTGAAGTTTGTCGATGACATTATATTGGGGTCGTATTTTTTCGTCAGCAGAAGCAATGTCGACTTTTCGTCGTTTTTCCGAACTGCTACATGGAGTGCGGGGAGTTTGTACCCCTTCTTACTATGCTCCGCTTCTAGTAGGGTGGCGACTATTTTTGCATGCTGCTGCTGCAGCGCAACTGCTAGTGGAGTAAATCCTTCCTGAAAAAAGACAGCATACCAATTCAGCATCGTTTTTGCATTTCATTGTCTATTTTACACTTAACGTTTTGTTTGAAATGAACTTTACATGACTACAACACACTGAATTAAAAAACATAAAATAACGCTTTGCGTGGTGCGCCGATAATGCATTTTGTATACATGTAAACTATTTAAGAAGAAGGCTTAACGGCGCTGCTATAACGACTTCATAATTTTCTTTTCTTCAAATATTTGCTCTTCGACGCTTCATTTACTATAACGCCATCTATTTTATTATTTGCATAAAATGCAAAACAATATATATGTATATTCCATCACAGGTAGTTGCGCATTGTAAGTGTCACTAGTCTATACTGGAGTAATTTTTAAATAACTTGCAAAAACCACAAGAAAAATGAGGACGAACGCTTTTTCATTAGCAATGGAATGCATAAATTTTTGTACTTTTTCAAAGGAATACTCCCAGGATTGTGTCGGATCGGCAACATTAAGCCCTAAGAGAAATTTTTCTGCACCAAATCAATTTTGAGAGGCGACATGTATCAAAGACGGACCAACAACAGCATTGGAAGAGCTCCAGTCAAACAAATCAAGATAATCAGTAAAACAAATCGATAGCAGTAGTTCAGTCACATACTGGCTAGGAAAATGCTATCAAAAAGTCAACGAACGTACTCAAAACTCATTGGTACTTCTAATGAGTTCAGGGAAATGAAAAAAAAAATGAAAATGCGTGAGACGACGAGTGATTGCAAGCAGCAGTTCGAAAGCTAGATAGCATGACAATTCACCAGAATAAATGAGAATTTGAAACTCATTTAACACAGCCAACAGACAGTTGTAAAAGTGTCAATGAACTCATGGAGGCCTATAAGTTTTGAATCTTTGAGTTTTGAAAAATAATGGAACTAAAAATGAATCAAGTATTATTTATGAAACAATGTGACAAGCAATAGACCAACAATTTTTTGAAACAGAATATTTTCAGTTTTTAAAAAAAAAAAAACTAGTCTTGGCCGGATTCAAAAACATAGCCAACAGACAGTTGGAAAACAGTCAATGAACGCAAAACGCAGTAAACAAAAAATACTAATTATTTTTTAAAAGAACTTCAATTTTCCAATTTCAGAGAAAAAATAGATGCCCTCTGAGCTCTTTGAATTTCAAGAACAATTTATGACTGGCACTTTTTTGATAGAATTCACCCAATTTGAAAAAAAAACTGGATATATAAGAACTTTATTTCACTGGGAAATTAAATTGTATTTTCTAGAAGTCTATCATGATTTTTGTGACCTTTACACTTTTGCTGTTCGCTAGTGGAACAGCTGATTTTTCATTAATAAGAGAGCATAATTTGCCTTCCTTTTAGCAATGAATTTGTATCTTAATAAATCAAGCTCTTAAATGATTCAAGTAATTTTGTTTAACAAGTTGTCAACTTGAAAAAAGTCTATATTCCGATTTATAACGCTTGCTAACCACAAGCGTAAGAATAAGATTATTAGTTAATTCTATTGTTAAACCCAAAAATTAAAAACCATTTTCGAAACCAAAAGATAATCATGCTTTTTGCGCTATTTGCATTTAGTTTAAGGAGCGCGTTATGAGCCTTCCTCCAAGCCATTGAATTTGAATAGAACAAAGAAAACAAGTCAAACCGCGAAAAATTGGTGAGCATCTAAGTTTGTTAGAACAGTTTTTGTAGGAAAAGAATTACACAAAAACCACACTACTTTATTCATTGACCTTTAATCAAAGCAAATCAAAGCAAGAGAATGGCCATTATCTAGGGTAAGTCAATTTTGAATGAAATTTGCTTGAATTATTGGGAAACTAAACCAAATTAAAGAGCATTCCAACGAACGACCCGCCGTTTTTTGAAACAGTAAAATTGGTGTCACGCGTAATTAAGTACCTCTGTAGTGACAGTTTCATCTGCGCCCTTGTGCAAGAGGTATTTGAGCACATCTAGATGGTTTTCCTGGGCGGCCATGTAGAGGGGCGTGAAGGATCCCTGTGCCTTGGAGTTAATGTCACACTTCCTCTCCACCAACAGTTTCACCACTGTCAGGTGACCCGCTAGTGCTGCAATGTGCAGAGCTGTGTTGCCACGCTACAACACAAATAAGTTCAATTCGACATCATTTTACTGGAAAAATTACCAACGTTGCTTTTTTTTAAAACTCTAATGGTTATTAAAGCACAATGTAACAGTTAGACATTATAGGACTACTCATCTTCTGTCTACCATGCCATTGTGCCCTTGCTTAACACCTAAATGCCGTAGGCTGGGAACTGCTGCAATGACCAAGTAACGCGCACGGATTACGGAGGATCTATATTCCAACAACTGTATTGAATCTTTAAGATAGCCAGAGAAAGAAGTAACCTAAATGCTTATCTTACTTCAGCTGCAGAATTTCAATTCTTCTTTCTGAATAATGCTGGCAAAACAAAACAAGACGATGATGGTAACATTTCCTTTATGATTGGTAAAATCGGTAGCGTAAATAGCCAAGAAATTGGGCTCCTTATGAATAAAGGCAGCAAAATTAAATTGGATTTTGATGGTGTGATGATTCTCTGTCAGCTAAATTTTGCTCAAGAGACATCCAGAGGCAATTTGCGATGCATGATGTGAATGAGTTTCGCAGGTCTGATTCCAGTGGCGATAGTACGTACGACACGGTGGCATGGCTGTGGTGGGGTCTCCAGGCAAGTATACATCATGTGCATCTGAATACTCACATTAGACTTGCAACTTGGATCAGCTCCCTTGTCCAGCAGAAAAGCACACATCTCCGGCAGGTTCTTGCGAGCGGCTAAATGCAATGCCGTCAGTCCACCCTAAAACATGCGAAACATTCAATTTTCATCCTTCATCCTTCAAACTTCAAACCATTACCATAATGATATTTAGCGCATATATTTGAAGCTGATTGATACTCGGTTTCAAATTTAAGGATATCAAGAGTTAGCTCAGTTTAAAACACAAAAGATGTGATGCCATTTGTGCCGGCTGATCATCGGTCACTGTGTGCTAACTCAACACAAAAGTTTAGTAACGAGAACAGCTGAATTTCAAACTCAATTGACAAAACTTTCTCTCAGGAAAACTATTAATTCAGTTTCCATTTTCACTGCTTTTTTATAAACGGAACTCTAATTGCAATAAATTCAGAAAAAAGGCAAACATAAATACATAAATGTAATCTGCCGGATCCAAGCATAGATCAATGGAGTATTAGCTGAACTCTGACCAGAACCAAAATAAATTGGTCCGAGCAACATTGAAGTAGTGCTTTGTTGATAAAACTTTACCTTTGAGGGCTATAAAAGGAACGAACACTCAACAGAAACAACCATACAATTTCAGTTCAAATAGACCCACAACGAAAAACAGATCAGCATTTGAAGCAAAGTGTTCTGTTCATTCACGTTGTATAATAGTGCACAGAAGACAGTTAAACAAGAAAAATGGGTTGCAGAGCAAGTAGCACAGAAGGTTCCGAAAGCATTTTATTGCGCAAAAACGAAATTAATGTTTTTTCTCGAGTTTTTGTAAGTGAAGGGGAAGAACTAAAAGCTAAAAAACTTAAAAAAAAACAAGGGATTTATGAAATTATAATAAATTTTTTTGAGCAAGTTTGAAAAATGAATTTTTCTCCAAATTCGTCTAAAAGCAACACTTTAAGTCGGTTTTTCTCGACATTGAGAACACTTTTTATAATTCTTAAAAAAATTATCGAATCACGACAGAAAGTGCTGCAATATGATTAATGACCCGATCTGACGTTTATTTGTAGAATCTGATTTTGCGTGAAAAAAGCAACCAAATACTAAGTTCTTTTGCGCCTTCAGCAATCGTAACAATACAAATCGCATCCAGAAAAAGCTTCATCCTCACGAAAAATCATGCTCTTACATGGAGTGATTACAATAGTTTCCGAAATTTTAGAGTGATATCCCAGAAAACCTTATGCAGATTATTCTACTGGTTTGTTATACAGAATGTTAGTTTTTAAAACATTTAAGTAAAAACCTGGTCATTTCGAATTAATGCCTTGAATAAGCTTTGTTGCTATGGATTAGACTGTAATTCTAACTAATCCGACGAAAGGCGTTTCAAATTGAATTAATTGTATCTTATTCAAGTTTTATTATAATCATGTGCGTAGCTGCAGACACTACACTCACACTATTGGCCATGTTGACTGTTATTCCGGAGTCTGGGTTGTTCAGTAGCTCCTCCACCTTGTCTATGTTACCAGTCTGGGCAGCCTTCAGAAGTTGATGGGCGGGATCATGTGCCTAAAAAATCAATTCGAGAATTTTTTTACAAGCAATAAATCTAGTCTGAACATATCATCACTAGGGAATAACTTAATCATCACAGGCGAAGCGGAGCTATGCAGCTCTTGCGATGCAAAAAATTGATGAAAAAGACTCCCAGAAAAATAAATCGAAGAAAAATAGCCACATAGCCAATCGAAGATTGGAAAAGAGTAATGAACACAAGTAAACGCACTGACTTTGTTTAAAAAATCTCAACATTCGAATTTCAAAGAAAAAAAGTAGATGCCCTTTAAGCTTTTTGAATTTCTAGAACAATTTATGATTGGCGCTTTTTTGATAGCATTTACCCAACTTGAGAAAACTGGATCAACAGGTAAAGTTTTTATTCCGCTGGAAATCTAAAAACTAAACTTCACTTTCAAAACTAGAAGTCATTCAAGAATTTTCGCGCCAATTGCACGTTCGTATTTGGAGAGTGATATTTACGTCACTTTCAGCAGATTGAACTCAAAAAGTGCAAATTTACCGGAGTGCATTATTATTTTACGACTTTTTCCTTTAAAAAAATCAGCAAGACCTATATAAGGGTCTTTTCTAAGTTCATTACTCTTAAAAAGAAGTATTTGACTCAAAAAGAGGTGTAAAATGACAAAACTTTCCACTATTTCCTTTTGAATTAGAACGTCTCCGTTTGAATTAAAACTTCTCCTCCGTTTGTATGAGATAAAACCAAATAAAAATTGTCTAAATTATTAACTTTATGCTCAAAGTTACGTCAAAAAGCAAAACTGAGTTTGCAGTTGCTGTCAAAAAGGAACAAGGATAACCGGTTACTGTGCAAATAGCACAGAATGTTCCGATCATGGTCTTAAAAAATACAACGAAAAGATTTTCAAATTAGTATTGTTTTTTTTTCTGCGTGGTGCGATAAAAGGACCTGAACAAAAAACTAGAGCAGACTAGTAACTTGACAGACTAGTAACAACAGACTAGTAAATTGACAGACTAGTAATTGGACAACAATTTTTGTAGAAAAATGACTAAAAAACTCAAAAAATGGATTAAAAATAAGTCTCACGGCTTAAATTAAGCTATTAAAATAAGTTATTGAAAGACTGCTCGCACGCTTTATTCGCTCGAAACTAGCAAAAAAATCAAAATTTTAATTACGGTTTTTCTCGACAGTCGGAATACTTTGTTATACCTTGATTTGGGGCTTGGACTTTTACCAGATCGGTTTTTTTTAGCAGACCGAGCTTTTAGAAGGCCGAGCATTTACAAACTCAAAACAATTTAAACGTCAGAACGCTAATTTTGAACGAGGTTGGCAGCTAGCAACCGCTTGCACGGCAAAGCTTTCATTCAGCTCGAGAGAGATATTGTGCGTATGAATCTAAGTTCCTGGCTGCAACATAAATGGAGATTTCATTGCAGACGAAACTTCAAACTGAAATTTTCAATGAAAAAACTTGTTTCAGTTTTCGTAACAAGTTCGACCCCCTACCGACCCAAAGGGTCCCCCTTTGAACTATTTTGAGATAACCAATTTTGGCTGACGGACCCTAAAATTTTTCTAAAAGCGCCAATATATACTAATTTTAAGGGGGGAGCGCGCGCCAAAAAGTGCCCAAAAACGCCTTTTTGGCCTGTTTTTTCCAAATTCTGCATGCGGCGCAGAAATTTTGGCCAAAACAGGATTTTTTTAGTGCTTCGAAGAGCTCTCGGAAAACCAATTTGGTCAAAAAAAAGGTCGACATTTTTTTTTAAAATCCCCCCTCAAGAAAATCCTAGATCCGCCCCTGATTGAAACCATAGGTTTTTGCACTATACGCCCAAAAAATCATTCGAACTATTTCTATTTGCAAAATTTCATCATTGACTACTATAGTTGCGTTAGCTTAAAACAATATTCAAATTTTAAGAATAAAGCTCAAAATATACTCAGAAACACAGCTGCTAGCCAAATGATTTGATGTGACTCTGTTAACAATCGCAAGAGCGTAAATAGATTGAGTATTAAAATGCTAACATGCTCAAAACATGTACGCTGGTTGACCAAAGTGGTATTTGAATGAACAAATTGGCGGAAACAATAACCCAACGCTTCCATGTACAATAAAAAACAAGTTATTGCAATCTTAGATTGCAATTCTTTGTAGATGAAATCATTAATTTGGAAAATTAACAAAAAAAATGAGTCTTGAGAAATCTTATGAAAAACTTAAAGAATCAAAATTTAGGAGTTAAAACGCAACAGGACCGAAAATTTTGTGGCAAAATCCTGAAAAAGATGTATTAAATCTTTGCTCTTGATGTTTGTTGCTAAATGCCTGTAGGGGTGCGTGATACAGAACTTTGCTACTTCGGAGGTTTGCCGTAGCCACTGATGTGTGGAATAAAAACACATATGTTAAGATTCTATACTAAGTATTTATTTCACTTACCGCAGGTGAAGCGTGGCCATTGGCGTTGGTTTTGCCGCCACCTGCACTGTTCGGCATAACTTCTGGAGTTGCGGCGTGGTTTTCCATGACGAGGATGATAAATTGGTAGAAATAGACTTGTAGTAACAGGAGTCCTTTAGTTGAGATATGGTCAGGCGATCAGATCAATCAATCAATAAACTAGTCACGCAATCCTACCGATCATAATTATAATCAGCCTAATAATGCCAATTGCATCATCTGAAAATCACACAGCAAAATACTAATCAGTAAAACTAAGTATAAATATATGTAGGTAAAAAATAAAATTGAGGCTACACTTTTTGCCTTCCAATAACAGGTTAGTAATAAGCAGCCAGTTTTTCGCGGAATCGGATAGAAATTCAATAATGGATCTTCAATGCCAGTTTTTTTTCTGGTGAATTCAGCGTAAGAGCATGTATCATTGGGCGGCTGGGGAGGGATCAAAGAAAGCGGTCTGACCGACTTTTCAGAGAATTAAGGCACTATAAGCGGGTATGTATGTGTTGCAAGGTTAACACAAAGATGACTATATTTTGTGTGGTTCGAATGGTCCCAGCGGCACAAAGCGAGATCAAATGTCTATAACCGGACCAAAATATCCGCAACACCACTACGGACACAAACAGAAAATACGGCTATAGAATTCAGTGCAACGAAGGGAGAATTACCAATATACGTTTACACATGCACGGGCAACTTGATATAGACTACTAGCATTACCAATGCGCTGGTTTTCCTGGTATAATAATTCACTGCTTTTTTCGCTATCTCCTAGTCGGTTGGTTCCGCTTTAGCGCATAACATACCGGCAGAAGGCAGCCCACAAAACAAGCAACACACCAAGCCAATACTGCAAGTTCGCTTGTAAAAACACCGAGGGCTATTCTCTATGCCCCAACTTACTAGTCCCTGCAAACTCAACTGAAATGAATGCAAAAACGGACAGTCAGTAACTTATTGATCAGAAAAGTAGCTTGGAAAATATTGAACTACTTTAGTTGCATAGCCTAAGAAAGGAGTATCTTTATCTCTTCAGACTGCCACTGTTATTTGAACAGAACTTCTGTTGTGAATCAAGAAAAGCGCGTGAAATGTTTTAAACCCCCTGGCAGATAAATCAAGCTGAAGTTAAACTTAGCGACACATATGGAGCCTCTTCAAACAGATCTATGTCACCCATAACTTCAATGTATCTTTTCGCTGCTCAAAATTTTAAATGCCAAAAGAGATCGCACCAATAGTTCAATATCACCATGAGTTTTCCACAGAAATTCAAACAAGGGTCCACATTTTCTCGCCAGAACTTTCGAATCTTTAACAAACATAGATTTTTTAACAAGCCAGAGCGGATCCAGGATTTTTCGGTGTGCGATTTTCAAAAAATATCTACTACTTTTAGGTCGCCCAAATTGATTTTCCTAGCTCTCCGGACCACAATAAAAACCCTATTTTGAGAAAATTAGTAGCGCCACAGGCTAATTTTTAAAAGTTTCTAGGCACTTAAAATTACGAAACTTTCACAATTTCGGATACATTCATTACACAGGCACCGAACTTATTTTACATTTGATCTTTGATTTTGTCCAAAAATGATAGTTTTTTAATATTGTTCCTCAAAAACTTTTCGATATTCGGAAGATTCAAGGCTTTGCCCTGATACAATCATTCTTGTTTGACTTTTACAAAGAGGTGAAGCTTCACTTCGCAAATAAAACCAAGAAAATTACAAAACGCAGCTATATAAAACTAACTAATATAGCAAAGTTGGAAAAATGTGTATGAACGCAAGTATCCAGAAAAAATACGGACACAGTTTTTCGAAAAAATCTCAACGTTCGAATATCAAAGAAAAAATAGCTGGCCTTTAAGCTTAAGTTATGATTGACACCTTTGATAAATTAAATCCAATTTGAGAAAACTGGATCAATAGTCAAAATGTTTATTTCGGTAAGAAATTTGATTATAAATTCGTTTTTCGTGACCTTTATACTTTCGCTGTTCGACAGTGCAGTTTGCCTTCCTTTTAACAAAGAGAATGAACTTGAAACTAAAAAAAAGTCAAACCGCAAAAAAGTAAATTTGTGCCGGAACAAAATTTAAGACCTTTCCTTAAAAATTCATCGCGACTTATTTAAGATTCCTATTCTAAAACAATTTAGCATTGAATAATACAAAGCGAAATAGCATTGAAAAATGAAGGTATCGGATTTCAACGTCCAACCTCGAGCCACGCGCTTTTGAAAGTTAGCTAGCACTAACCACCAATAAAGCAGCTACAGATACTTATAAAATGCCAAAGCTATGCAACTGAAATGCCACCAAATAAAACAAAGCTAGTACGACTTTGAACCTCCGTTCAGTCGATTGGGATCTAGCAATTTTGCATTTGAGCCACGGTAGCTCGAAGAATGGCAAAAATTAGCCACAAATAATTTCCATTCCGCTCTAATCATTAGGCAATATTCGGCCTCTTTTGATCAGCTCGTTATCTTTTTTTTTCGTTCATTTCATCTCCGTTTTTCGTCCGAAATTTGTTCGGGTTGTTTTGATAGCGTTTTCAGTTTTCGATTTCGTAAAATTTCGTGGCGAGAGATTCAATCAGTTTTGACTCTAATAGTGAGGAAATTTTCGTACTACACCAATTTATTATCAGAAATCGAAGGCAATTTTGTCGCTTTAGGGTCGTGATGGTTTAATTTATTTTCAAAAATTTCCATTGAACTTCATCTTCTTTGGACTTCAAAGGGACTGTAGGCTTAGTTTTCGTAGTCTTTCATAATATTCATTTCCTGCAATCCAATAACCAATTGCGTTGCCTGTCGTTGAACATTTCAAACAACTTTACACGTTTCTGTAACCTTGATTGCAAAACTCGAAGTGGGGCCGGATGACTCTTTTAAAAACATTCAGAAGTACAGGTATAGTCATTTCAAGGAGCCTTTCATGGAAAAAGCAATGATTGAATTTGCCTTTTCGACTTGTGTGAAAAGGCCACAATCGAACGGAAGTTTACTGCGAATGATGATTGCTTAAGTTTTTTTCCTCCGCCACTTTTCAAATTCTTTGCCATGGAGACAGTTACTGCTTTCAAAAATGTTAGACCTTGTAATAGAGATCAGTTTTTGAAATCTTTTTGTACACTTTCAAGAACCATATTAATTATTCCTATGATTTTTAATTTAGATTTAGCGGCGGACCGCAAGGGATTCCCTAACAGAAGAATGATTTCAGTCCGTTAACAATCTACAGTTAGTTCAGTCAGAGAACAGCTTCCAGGTGCATGAGTTGTTTTCATTACACAGGAGCTTGAAGTGGGTCCAGAAAAATTTGAGAAGTCTTCTTTTGAGTCTTGTCATGTTGAATATATTATAATTAAATTAATAATACAGTATTCAGGAATAAGATCCAAGGGCTGAATCAAGTCCCCAGTTTTGAAATTTTTATCTGATGTCAATTTTTTTTGAAATTAAGCAGCAGTTGCAAGGACAGTTGACTCGCCAAATACATAAATCGCTCTCAGTAAATTTTTCATAGAAGAATTGCCAGTATATTTCAGTCAGTTTTTCTTTCAAACTTTAGTAATTTATCGCCATCTGGTCAAAACCAAAACAAGCTGACAATTTGTTTACCAGAAAAGGTACTCGGTACAAAAAAATGTTCTTATTCTTTTGTTTTTTTTTCAGCTTTGGGATACGGAACGCGTTTCTGGATCCTTGGGTCTCAAAAGTATTTTTGGCGCAGGGCATAACGTGATCGTAAACACAACAAAAGTAGTTGTTGTTAGCAACTTTGTGGAAGAGAAGGAGATCGTGCATTTCGTGATATAGTGAAAGAGGTAATAAACTTTTTCAAGTCTTTGCTTTTACGGCATAGCCGAGGAGTTTAGAATCCATCTGGTAGCCTTCTTTTGTTTATCTTCAAAGCCTCTCAGTTCTGTTTTGTTCTGCTTCCACACCTCAGATCCGTATGATATAATTGGTACAATGTTGCCACTATTCATTTTATTTGATGATAATGATGACCATTTTGGCAAATTTTGCTGGACTTGGAAAAGTGCTCCTATGGCTGTTGACACTCGCTGTTCACAGTTGGCAGACCAGGTGAGATACTATGATTCTTAGATCTTTCTCGGTATCAGGCTCTGAAAGCTCGTGTTCATCTATATGAACTTTATGCGATGTACAATCTGATTTGAAGATCAAGTTATGACATTTTGATAGATTTACACTCATGGTGTTATCACAACACCATTTTCTGAGATGATTCATTTCTTTTTGTAGATCTTTAGAATTTATTGATAACAGCTTGTATTCGTCCGCATATCAAAAGCAACAAGATTTCAAGCCACTCGGCAGATCGTTTATGAGGTAAAGAAAAAGTAACGGGCCCAATATTGAACCTTGTGGAACTCCGCTCGGAAAATCAAGCGAAGTACTGAGCTGATTTTTGATTCGAACTCTATGCTTGCGATTTTGCAGACAGCTTTTAAAAAACTATCAGGCTACCACCAATCCCAAAAGATGATAACTTAGTGACCAGAAAAGTATGTTTGACCTTGTCAAAATCAGTGTATGCCGCAAAGATAGGACTTTCCTCATTTTATTCTAAGAGGCTTCATTTAGATATTTCAACATTTGAACAGTTGTCCATCTTTTTGGTCGAAAACCAAATTTGCTTTCGTGTAGCTGTTTGAAAATATGAGTTGACATTTTATCGAAAATGAGTCTTTCGAGTATATTGGAGTTAGAGAGGAGTAGACTTATTGGCCGATAACTAATTACAGATTACTTTTCACCGTTCTTGTTTATTGGACCTATCTCGCTACGTTTCCACATGGTAGGATATGCTGATTTATTTGCAATTGCATAGAAAAGAAGGTGTACAGATTTCTTGAGTCTGTTTGTCAGTTTGTTCACTATAGGGTTCCCAAGTTTATTGAGCCCCATGACTTTAGTCAATTTCAGGTTCACCATAGTTATTTTGATTTCTTCTTCCGTGAAACAAATACGCTAATATTGGTTTGATTCAACATGCAAGGTTTTTCATTTGGTTTATTGATTACGCTCTGGAAGTACTGGTTGAATAGATTTCCAATATCTCTATCATTATAGGCAGTTTTTTCGTCCCAGAATAAAGTTGGTGGTGGTCCCTTTGTCGTACGGGTACTCTTGACATATTTCTGTAGCTTGGTGAAACTTCTACCCTCAAAAGTAACG